GTTTTTTTTTTTCCTGTTTTCTCTCTGGGTTGTTTCTGTTAGTGTGTTTCCTAGTTTACCAGTCTTTTCTTCTATAGTACCTAATGTGCTATTAATACTGTTTATTTTATTTTTCATTTCACACATTGTAGGTTTCATCTCTGGAAGTTTCATTTGGACTTTATGTTTTCCATCCATGTTTCTACTTGGCCTGTTAACCTATGAAATACAATTTTTATAACTATTTGAATGTACTTGTCTGCTAATTCTCACATCTGTATCATTTATGCGTTAGTTTTTTTAAAAAATTTCTTTTAGTTGTAGATGGACACAATACCTTTATTTTGTTTATTTTTATGTGTGCTGAGGATAGAACCCAATGTTTCACAAGTGCGAGGCAAACACTCTACCTCTGAGCCACAACCCCAACCCTATGCATTAGTTTTGATTGATGGATTCATTTCTTCATTATGGCTAATATAGTTTTGCTTTTTTGCAAAGTTGGCAATTTCTGGTTGGATGCAAGACATTCTGAATTTACCTTGGGTCTTGGATTTTTTTTATTCCTATAAATATTTATGAGTTTTGCAGTGACTTGAAAACAATTTGATTCATTCAGATCACTCTTTTAATACTTGTTAGTAAGTATCAGAGCAGTGTTTAATCTGAGGTTAAAACCTGTTCCCCATTGAGGCAAAGACCCTTTTGCATACTTGTACCTAATGTCCTGTCATGGGCTTTTCCAGTCTGCCTGTGGAAATAGATACTATTCCTGGCCTGTATGAATGCTGAGTATTCTTTTTTACAATCTGTCTAGCTGATCCTCCCATCCCCCCTATTTAGATAGTTTCCTCATATAAGCCTATCAGTTTCAGCAGAATACTTGCGGAGGACCCTGGGCAGATGCACAGAGCTCACTCTATTCAGTTCTCTCTTCTCTGGTACTGTGTCCTCCAAACTCTTGCCTCTTCTGACTTATTTTGTAGCTTCTCAGCACCTTCTTCTTAGCTCAGGGTATCTTCTGGTCTGTGAGTTCTCCCTCCTGCTCCATGGCTTGGATTTTCTCTTAAGGCAGTAAGATGGGAAATCAAGAGACCCACCTCATTTGTGTCTCATTTTTTAGAAATCACAGTCCTTTGTTTATGAATGTTCATTGTTTTTGAAACTGTGGTTTGGGGGCTGTGTTTGTAGCTCAGTGATAGAATGCTTGCTTAGCATGTGAGAGGCACTGGGTTCGATTCTCAGCACCACATAAAAAAATAATAAAAATAAGAATAAAGGTATTGTATAAAAAAATTAAACTGTGATTTTGTGTACTTTTGTATACTTTTAGTTTTAGCCAAGAAGGTAGGTTAATTTAGTCCTTGTTTATCTTGGTTGGAAACTGAAATATCACTAGTTTAATTTTGAAATAACAGAATTATGTGTTTTAAAAATAAATATATAGAGCGAATAGTATTCGACTATCAAGAGTTTATACCTACTTTTCAATGTCTGACTGAAAATTGTCATTAACAAGAGAAAACATTAAAAAAAGGACCAAAATAATATGTAATGCAGTGTACTCTCCATTATTGAAATATGATTTAGCTATAACTTCTTGGATTCTCAATGACAAGTACATAATCTTTTTACCATTTTAAAATAATTTTGTCCAGGGACAGTGGCATGCTTCTGTAATCACAGCCACTGTGGAGGGTGGGACGTGAGGGTTTCTTGAGCCTAGGAATTTGAGACCAGCTTGGACAACATAATGAGTCCCAAAATAAATAAATAAAACTAAATAAATAAATAAAACAATTTAAAGAAATTAATAAATGTTATTTTAAGTGTTTTTAAGTTCATAGCAAAATTCCCAGCAGAAAGTAGAGAGTTTCCATATAACTCTCATCCCCATACATTCACAGTCTCCTTCTGAATCGATTATCCCCTTCCAGGTTGGCATATGTGTTAAAATGATGAGCCTGTGTCAATACATCATTATATCCAAACTCCATAGCTCATATTAGGGTTCCCTCTTGCTGTTGTATATTCTATGGTTTAGATAAATTAATGCTAATATCTACCTACTCTTGTTTTATGCATAGTAGTTTCATCACCCTAAAAATTCTCTGTGCTCTCTGCCTGTTCATCCCACCCTCCCTTTTAACCTTGGCAGCCACTGATTGTTTTACTGCCTCTATACTTTTGTATTTTTCAGAATGCGATAAAATTGTAATCATATAGTATATAGTCATTTCTTTTATTTAGTAATATGCTTTTAAGTTTCCATACTCTCTTTTATAGTTTGATAATAACTCATTTTTTTAGTGATAAATAATAATTCATTGTCTGGATGGTATTATATCCTTATGCCTACTGAAGATATGTTGGTTTCTTCCAAGTTTTAGCAGTTATGAATAAAGCTGCCACGAACATTAATGTTCATGTTTTTATGTGGATCTTTTACCATTTTTAATATATGACGGTAATGAGAAGACTGAGTAAAAACCTCAATCCAGTTTTAGTTTTTTTGTATTTTTTTTTGCGGTGCTACAGATTGAACCTAGGAGTGTTCTACCAATCATCTACCCTTTTCATTTTTTATTTTGAGATAGGGTTTTGCTAAGTTGCCTAGGCTGCCCTGAACTCACAATCCTGCTTCAGCCTCCTGAGTAGCTAGCTGGGTTTATTGGTACATGTGCCACCATACCTGGCTTTTCCTCTTTTCTTTCTTTGAGACAAGGTCTTACTAATGTTGCCTAGGCTGACTTTGAACTTGTGATCCTCCTACCTCAGCCTCCTGAGCACAGTTTTCGATATTAACAAGTAAAGTTTTAAGAGATGCATGTTGAAGAAAACTATATGCCATTAGAATTGTTTAAGTTTGACATTTTAAAACCAGAAATTCTGACTCTCTAAAATTGAGATGAGATTCTCTTATTATAGGAAATCCATGATCTTTTTTTCTCAGGTGTAAAAAGTATAGATTAATAGGGTTTTTTTAATTAGTAAATTTTAAGTATTTAATGCAGTCACAGAAATCGAAATAGGAACTAATTTTGAGTTAAAAAAAATTTTTGGCCATTGCATACTGTTGAAAAAATATGGGCTCTGTAGCCAGATGGACTATGTTCACACCTTGTCTCTGCATTTATAACATTGACCAAATTACTAAACTTAAGCCTCTATTTCCCTAAATAAATCATGGAAATACAAATAGTGTCTATCCCTTAGGATTGGGGTGAAAAAAAGAAATATAATTGCATGTAAAGTGCATGGCCTAGTACATAGGAAATGATCAGTAAATAGTAGCTATATCATGATAGAGCTTATTATTTAGTAATTCATTGTGTCTCTATAAGTTACAATATTTTCAGGTCCTTTGAATGTAATAAGTTACATTCCTAATGGCAGAATTTGAAATAGCCAGTTTGAAAAAACTGAGACTTTATATTCCAATGTGTAAAAAATTATTTCTGGTGTGATTGATTTATTTTTTAAAATGTCTGAAAATGATGGTGTCCTTTGAGGTTAACTGAATAGAGTATTCATAGTTAAGGAACTTTTTTTCATTTATGCTGTACATCCTAGGCTATCTTCTCATGCCATATCATCTCCTGACTCTAACTCTCTAACTGGTTTCTCTATGTCTACCGTTGCTTTATTCCAACTGTCCACAATATAACCATAGAAAAATCATTCTATGGCTTCACTCTGCTTCAGGATAAGGCCTAAAAACTTTAATACAGTTTTCATGACCCTGTGTGATTAGGACATTGCTAGTTTAGTTTCTCTTGCTCTCTATGTATCTACCTTACATTTTACATGTTTCTTTCTTTCTGATCTCATTTCAGTGTCTGAAACCTCCATTCTCTTTCTTCCCTTTTGCCTCTTCTACTCTATTCCCATCTCATTTGTGTTTCAGATCTTATCTTAAACCATACCTCTTCTGGAAAGCCTTTTCTGACCGCTACTCCTAGCCATTCCCTGGTCTGGTTTATATCCTACTCTCATCTGGAACAGTTTTCTCAGTACTCATCAGGCTAAAAATTGTTTTGCCAGTGTCTTTTTCCTAAGATTATAAGCACTTTAAGATTAAGGATTTTATTAGTCTTGTTTGTGACTCTGGCCCTGGTGCCTAGCACAATGCCACACTCAGGTGTGTTGTAAATATTTGTGGGATGAAAAAGTTTAAGTATTTAGAAGGTTTTAAGTTGTGTCTCTAGTTAATCTGTAAGAATTGCATTGTCACTTTTTTAGTTAACACCCCATATTTCTTATAAATGTTACTTTAAAACAATTAAAAAAAATGAATTTATTCAGGATTAATAAGGGAAAAAAAACCCACCATTTACTGGTACTTTCTACTAGGCACAGTGTTGGTTATTTGTGTTTTTAAAAATATTTTTATTAGTTATTGATGGACTTTAATTGATTTATATGTGGTGCTGAGAATCGAACCCAGTGCCTCACACATGCTAGGCAAGTGCTCTACCACTGAGCTACAACCCCAGCCCTGGTTATTTGAATTAAATTGTTTCATTTGATTCTTAACTATCAATATAGAATATTCTCAACCCTGTTTTACCATCAGGGAGACAATCTCTGGGTAGATAAATTGTCCAAAGTCAAGTAGCTAAAAATGGGCAGATATGGATTCAGATTGAAGTCTTTTTGCTCCAGATCCTGTGTTCTTCTGCTGCCTTCTACAATTTAATGTCTACAATAAATAATACATATTAAAAGAAATTTCTTATAATTAAGAATAAGATTCTTGCATTTGGGGTTTAAGATTTTTTTATTAATTAGTAATATCTTATTGATTAGTGCTTTAGCAGTGTTTTATTTATGTGGCACGGAGTTCATATTGTACATGTTGATAATAAAGATGGAATCTGTACTAGAGCAAATTTTGAATTCATGGAAGAAATTACATCACAATATCAAAGAAATTAAGAGTTCCTTTTAATTAATTTTAAGAGTTATTGTTCTGTCGCATCAGGTTGTAAAAAGTGGCTGATTATCTTGATCATTTTCAGGAACTATTTTTGCATATGGACAAACTGGAACAGGCAAAACTTTTACCATGGAAGGTGTTCGAGCTGTTCCTGAACTTAGAGGAATCATTCCCAATTCATTTGCTCACATATTTGGTCATATTGCAAAAGCAGAGGGTGATACAAGGTAAAAGGGAATTCTTTTATTTTCTATTAATAAGAAATACAAACACAAGAAAGTTTTACAGTTATAAACTCATTTTAAAATGGGTCCCATAAACATTTCACTGCTTTTTATGTGCTTAAAATATTTTATTTATAGATTTTTGGTTCGAGTGTCATATTTGGAAATATATAATGAAGAAGTTCGTGACCTTTTGGGCAAGGATCAGACACAGAGATTAGAGGTAAGGGTAACTGAAATTGGAATACTTTCCAAAGCAATAGAATATTTACTAAGTTAAGAATCTTTTTGTATAAAAAATACTTTTAATGTTTTAAATAACCTTGTACATTTATTTCTTATTAAATTTAGACAAAGGAGATGGGGAGTTACTGAAGCAAGACTTGTGAGTCAAGTAGTAAATGATGTCAGTTTGTTAGATACTGTCAAATTTTTTAACCCTATAAAATATGAGACAAATAACAAGGAAAGAATAGCCTTTAAATATTAATATTAAAATTTTTTGTTGAAATTGCATTTTCAGTAAAATAGAGGTGAATAACATATGCAGAATAACAGTAGAATGGGGTAGAATTACAATAGCCACCATTGTAGGATGGTGAAGAATATATGCAGCATTGCAGCAGCCACCATTACTGAGCCTTTCCAATTGTGTAGACATTTGATGTAGTCAATGGCAGTTGGTAGTAGTGATATTTCATTTCATTTAATCTTCCCAGCAGTTTACTTTTCCTGATGTGGTAACTGAAATTTACAGGGGTTTCATCCATTGCTCAAGGTCATGTAGCAAGTGAATTGTAATATCATTTAGGATTAAGAGGATGGTTTCTGGGGTCCTACTATCTTAGCTTGAATTCTAGCTCTGATCTTGATCAAATTACTTAACCTCTGTGAGTCTTAGTTCTGTCATATGAAAATGGAAATAATAATAGGATCTACTTCATAGGATTGATGCCAACATTAACAAATTAAAGTGTTTAAGTCAGTGTCTGACATTTAATAATATTTGTTAGCATTTTTCATTTTAAGCTTATATAAATAGAGTTTTGGTACAGCATATTGGAGCATTAAGAATTATTTGTTGGGCTGAGGTTGTAGCTCAGCTTGCCTAGCATGTGTGAGGCATTAGGTTTGAGTCTCAGCACCACATAAAAATAAATAAGTAAAATAAAGGTATTGTGTTCATCTACAACTAAAAATATTAAAAAAAATAATTATTTGTAATAATGAAGGCTATTCTGTAATGATAACATGTACATAGCAAACTGTAGAAATAATTTTTTTTTGTTGCTAGTTGTCATCTTTAGTTTTCTTATCTTTTAGTGTTTTTGCCTCTGAAAAGTTTATTGTTTTATTTTTCAAACTTTTGGGAAAAAAATTATTTAGAAGGAACACTTCTGTTTTTGTACTTTAAATTATAGATCAGATTTATTCTCAGGAACATTCTTACCAGTGGTTCTCAACCCTGTTAGACCTTGTGCTCTTTTTTTAATAACATTTTGTAATGCCCTTTTGACTATCCTGAAATGAAATTCACAGGTGATAAAATCTACCAACACACGTAATTTTAAAAAAGTTAGTATACTGCCCTACTGTAATAAAAAGGAGAATAACAGTAATTTAAAAATAAAATGCTAGTACTACATTGTGGAAATGATTAGATGGGGGACCACAGTTGAGGATGTAATGAAATAGTTAGAGGCATGGAGAATCACCATGGCTACAAGAACTACAGATACAGAATATTATAACATACAAGTATGTTGTAATAGTAATCGGAACACTTGATTGGTATCGTTGTCAATGACCTGGTCTTTTAAAAGAGTGATTAGCTTTTGGTAGAGTTCTGAGAAAAATTAAGTACAATTCTTTCCTCAGTTTTTCTGTATTTTTATATTATTGTTATTATTATTATGGAAAATACCTTTGTCTTTATATCTTAGTCTCAGATAATTATGAATAGTTTTTTAATCCATGTAAATATCTACTAGGACATTGAAATTTATATGGGACAGTTGTTCTTTGGGTGAGCCTTCCCACCCATTTCAGAATGTTTAGTATCCTTGCTCCTTGCCTATAAATACTAATTGTGTTTCAAGTAAACCATAAACGCCCCCACTATAACTGTATTGTTATAGAAATTAAATTTTTTATGATAAATTTTCAAGGGGATAACGGCCAACATCTCATTAAGGGGTTCTTCTTCCTGCCCACGATAATCCAAGCCACCCTAAGATTTATAATCAATCTCAAAATAATTAGTGAATAACAAAGCACAAATACTCAGAAAGTAAAGCCCCTGATAGATCTAGTGCTCATGGGTTCTGGAACTAGACATGACAAAAATGGCTCTGGTGGTTTATTTTAGGGGGTACATCAAAAGCAGGGATAAGGTTTCAGGGGCAGAGTCTTGCTTGGTGATATCTTGCAGTCAGCAGGTTGATTGACGTCTTCGCAGGTCACACTCATCTCAGGTGCTGTGGTGGGTCACTGCAGAGCCAGATAGAGATTCACATTGTCCCTGGGTAATTGACCAAAAAAATGTCCACTGGTCATTCCCAGACACCAGACGTCTCTACCATGAAGCTTCTATGCCTGGTGACTCACATACAACCCATGGATAGCTCCTGACAATAAATTTTTTTTTTTTTTTTTGGTGCTGAGAATAGAACCCAAGGCCTTATGCATATTAAGCATATTTTTAAAACCTTAACAAATTCTCAGTTTTTAAACCTTAACAAATTCGAGATTGTATTTTATTTCTTCATCTTTCGTAGCTAATCAGTTATTAATTGAATTTTGAATTTTGAATTATGTGATTGGAAAAGACCTTAAAGTTCATGAAGACCAATAGTTCAGGAACAGATGTGAACTTGAAGAATGTTTCCAGTTAGCAGTAATGTGAACATAGAAAGTGCTTAAAAACTTCCATAGCAATTTGACATTGCCATTGCATCCAAGTATTTTTGTATTTTACAAAGATTTTAGTTTGCCAGATTAGAAGTGTACATGTCCTCTACCATAGTTTTTTTTTTTTTTTTTTGAGAGTCAAATGATAAATAACAAATTGTGGAAGAATTATTATGATAAATGTAAGTAAAGTCTTACTTTTTTTTTTAGGTTAAAGAAAGGCCTGATGTGGGAGTTTATATCAAAGATTTATCAGCTTATGTGGTAAATAATGCTGATGATATGGATAGAATTATGACACTAGGCCATAAAAATCGTAAGTATAGTGCATGTGTTGAATAGATTGGTTGAGAGACAAAAACAGTGTGATTCTTTGCTCTATAGAGACTGAACTTTAAGGTTTCTTGAAAATTCTTTCCCTTTGATGATTACTATGTAGAGAATATAAATGAATGAAAGATATCAGATTGTTTTCCATGCTGACCAAAATTTTTCTTTTTAATTATGCTAATCTTTGAAACTCTCATATAATTGTCTTTTATTAGTTACACTAAATATTGAGAGCATTTTTTGAGCACTTAATAAGTGGGAAGCACTTGTGCTCAGTGCTTCATGAAGATGATCTCTTAATTCTCACTGTAGTCTGTGGAGATACTAAAGTCCTACTTTTTGAATGACCAGCTGAGACTTAGTTTAAGTAACTTTTCTATGGTAGTATAGTTCCTAAGTGGCAAAGTGAGTATTTGAATGTAGGCTATTAGTATTAACCAGGCACTATACTGCTTCCCTTTTGTTGAGAGGGAAAGCAAAACAAAATCTTATCAAAATTACATTTATCTTAGTAGTTGTTTTATGTTTTTAATCTAAAGAATCAGAAACTTCAGCAATATTTAAAATATAGGTGCCCAAAGTCTAGTACTAGTGATGTTACCAATAGCAATTAGAAGTTAGAAATAAATGACAAGAACATAGAAAGTGAAAATATTAAGTTTCTGTGTCTTGACTATAGATCTAGCAAACACAAAGAAATTAAACATTATTCAATTTTTATACATAAACTAACAGAAAAATGATCAATAAGAAAATGACCAAATCTCAACAGAAAGATGAGCAAAAGATAATGTGTTATTCACAGAAAAATCATACAGAGCAATGATCACATGAAATTACTTCATAAGTAATCAGGATAATGCAGATTAAAACTGTAGTAAGAGATATTCTTTTGGCAGGGGGAAGGTAGCAGGGGATTGAACTCAGTGACACCTAACCACTAAGTAACGTTCTCAACCCTTATTATTTTGAGACATGCCGCAGTCTGGCTGGGCACAAATGCCGCAGTCTGGCTGGGCACACAATCACGAGCCACCACACAGCTTGTAGATTCAAACAGCAACTCTTTATTCCCGAACTCACACCAGCCGTCTACAATCACGTTCTGGGGAAATCCACGTTCTCTGCCCAAATCCACGTTCTCTGCCCAAATCCACCTCCACTGGGCTTCTATCTCCAAAATATATTGTCTGAATCCCGTGAGAACTCAAGGGGAACTCAGGCAGCAGGATACACCCTATTCCCAGCAGGAATAATCTTAAACCTGGAACCTAAACTGGGAACGCCCTAAACACGATTATCTTAAAACCGGGAACACCCTAATCTGCCTTGGTCCTTGAGCAAGGTCATCTACATTCAATGTCACTGCAACATGTCAGCAACATGGGGTACGCTGGCAAGGAAATTGTCATACCTACTTGGCTAATGGCTCCCAGCATCTCCCCCCTTCTGATTAATTAAACAACAAGCAATGTGGCTTACACATGTATGTCATGTGTAGTTTTATCTGCTAAATCATTGCCCAAACTAAGGGCTCCAGGCAATCCTGTATGTGCCCTGATATGTCCTATAAAGAATGGATCTTTTCTGTCCCAGATTAGACTTTGTATAGTGGAAAACAAAGAGAAAACAGTAGAAGAAGGGGAAATCCTACCAGCATCTTCAAGAGATACTATAGCATTAACTACATACTGACTATCAGAAAATAAATTAAATACAGAATCTTTAAACATCAAAAAAGCTTGTAAAACTGCATTAAGCTCTACCTTTTGAGCTGATTGTTTTGGTACTAAAAATGTAAAAGTTCGATCTGGGGTAACTACTGCTGCTGTACCATTATTAGACCCATCAGTGAATATATTTGGAGCATTCATGATAGGTGTTTTTCTTGTCATTTTAGGAAAAACTACAGGATGCTTAGACCAAAAAGACAACAAAGGATTAGATGGTAAATGATTATCAAATGAAACATTAGATTTACACATGATTGCCCAAGTATTTAATTCATTAGCTAACTCATCAATTTGATCCATAGTATATGGAGTAATAATTTTATTGGGAGAAATTCCAAACACTCCCTTCGCTGGTTTTATTCCTTTGAGTATTAATTGTCCTACAGCTTCAGGATACCTAGTAAGAATAGTGTTAGGAGAATAAGATAAATGTATCCACAATAATGGACCTTCTTGCCAAAATACTCCTGTAGGAATATTTTTTGTTGGTAGTACAATAAATAATAAAGGCAAACTTATATCAATTCTATCCAAATGTATGTTTTCCATATATGTTTCAATAATTTTTAATGCCTTTCTTGCTTTAGGAGTTAACATGCGGGGTGAATTTGGATCTGATGGACCTTTTAGGATATCAAATAAAGGTCCCAACTCTCCTGTTGGTATACCTAGATAAGGCCTTATCCAATTTATGTCTCCCAATAACTTTTGAAAGTCGTTAAGTGATTTGAGTTGATCTACTCGTATTTGAATTTTTGGTGGACGGACCATGGTTGAGGATAGTAGAACTCCTAAATAATTAATTGGAAAATTTAATTGTACTTTATCTATTGCTATCTCTAGATTATAATTTTTTAATAAGTTTGTAAGTGTGGCATAACATTCCAGCAATATGTTTTTATCTTTATGTGCCAATAATACATCATCCATATAGTGAAATATTTGTAGTTCAGGATTTTGATTTCTAAGTGGCTGGATTACTTTGTTAACATATATTTGACACATAGTTGGACTGTTAGCCATCCTTTGAGGGAGTACTTTCCATTCATATCTCTGATCAGGACCTTCATGATTTAATGCAGGGATAGTAAATGCAAAACGTGGACTATCCTCGGGATGAATTGGAATTGAAAAAAAAACAATCTTTAATATCTATAGCTAAAACATGCCAGGTTTTTGGCAAAGCAGACAATTGAGGAATCCCTGATTGAGCAGGTCCCATAACAACCATCTCATTATTAATGGCTCTTAAATCTTGCAATAATCTCCATTTACCAGATTTCTTTTTGATGACAAAAATGGGAGTATTATGGGGAGATATGGAAGGTTGTATATGTCCTTCCGCTAATTGTTGTTTGACCAGATCATGGGCTACTTGTGTCTTTTCTTTAGTCAGGGGCCACTGAGGAACCCACACTGGTCTTTCTGATTTCCAAGTAATTTTGATTGTCTCAGTGGCCCTTTCTGAAAATCCAACCCATGTCTGTCTGTTCCTTGATCTATTTGTACTGGTGCTGCTATACCTTGCCCTTGTTTTCCTAATCTTTTTTCTTTCCTAAAGCCTTGTCTAGCCCTAGTAGTGGGCGCATTAGGATTGATGTTATTTGTTAACGTCAAACCTAATTGATCTAGGACATCTCGTCCCCATAAATTTATAGGAAGATGATCCAATACATATGGCTGTATAGTTCCTTCACATCCTTCAGGATCCTTCCAATCTAATATCATAGAACTTCTATGGGGATTAGTCGCCACTCCTAGGCCTCGAAGCGTTTGAGTGGCTTGTTGTAATGGCCAATGTTTTGGCCATTCTTGACGAGATATGATGCTAAGGTCAGATCCTGTGTCCAGTAGTCCATTAAACTCATGACCTTGAATATTTAGTTTTAGCATTGGGCGAGAATCTAAATTTAAAGACAACATAGCCCAATCTACACCTGTGGAGCCTAATCCCCTGGAACCTCTTTCTACACTATGACTAGGAAATTTATTATGTAGGCTGGGTATTATTAACAACTGTGCTATTCTATCTCCAGGTGAAATTACTGATATACCTCTTGGAGAACTAGCTATAATTTTTATTTCACCTACATAATCGGGATCAATTACCCCAGGACTTATCATAAGTCCTTTTAATGTAGATGAACTACGTCCCAGTAATAAGCCTACTGTTCCTTGGGGAAGAGGTCCTTTTACTCCTGTGGGAATGATTTGAACTCCCATCTCTGGAGTTAATACTGCTCTGGCAGAGGCGCAGATGTCCAACCCTGCGCTCCCTCGGGTTTGTCTGATGAGGGATTTAATGGACAATGTGTCCTGGGCACTAGCCTGATGGTGTTGCTGGGTTCCTCCACTGCCCCGTATATTTGTGGTTGTGGGCCCCAGAGCATTGGGCCCCCCTGTCCGTTTTTTGGCAATGGAGCCTGATGCCTTTCTCCACGATATCTTGGATAAATACCTGGTCTTTGTCCGTTTTTTGATAAGGGAGTACCTTCTATGGTGGTTTGAGAACGGCATTCATTAGCCCAATGTCTCCCTCTACGGCATCGTGGGCAAATACCTGGTATTCTATTCCTTTGATCCCTACTTTTGTTAAATCCTCCTCCTATGGGGCAATTCCTTTTAAAATGTCCTGTTTGTTCACAATCATAGCATGTTTTTGGCCTGGCATCTAAAGCCTGTTGTACTGCAGCTGCCAAGACTTGCCCTTGTTCATTAATATCTCTACATAATTTAATATATGTGTTTAAATCTTCATGTCTCCATGGTCTAATAACCTCTCTGCAGCAACGATTTGCTTGGTCATAAGCCAGTTGTTTTATTAATGGCATTGCTTGTTCTGTATCCCCAAAAATTTTGGCAGCCGTTTGAATTAGCCTATCTACAAAGTCAGCGTAAGGTTCATTAGCTCTCTGTATTACCTTAGATAGCTGACCTTGTAAATCTCCATGTCCTTGTAAAGTCTTCCATGCCCTAACTGCGTCTGCAGCAATTTGTGCATATATAGCAGGATCATATTCAATTTGTTGCCATTGACCCTCATAAGGTCCTTTTCCTAACAACATATCTAGATTTCTTTGAGGGTAACCGGCTGCTGCATTTCGCCTAGCTGTCTCCGTGCAAAATTCCTCATTGGCAACCTTCCATAACAAATATTGTCCTCCATTTAGTACAGATTTACACATGCTAGCCCAATCTGCTGGCGTCATGTCCAAGTTAGTAATGGACTCGACCATGCTTACCGTGAAGGGAGCTTGGGGACCATAGGTTGTTACAGCCTCCTTTAACTGCTTCACTGTTTTAAAATCTAAAGCACGGTGGATTCGCTGCCCTCCTGCCTGTTCAAGTACAGGGCATGCTAATCTTTGAGGTCCTGTCTCAGGATCCCATTTATCAACTACGGGGTTTGAGGGCCACTCAGCTGTCTCCATCGGTGGGGCTGTTGGTTGAATTACGCCCTCTTGTGATAAAACAGAGTTAGTAACAGCCTCCTGTTGTGGCCTTTTTCCTAACAACCCCTTTTCCTTTAAATTTTCTTCCTCTGTCTGACTAGCTCGAGAGACCTTCTCTTTTGCTTGATCTAAAATGTCTTTCTCCATGGTCTGAACCTCTAACAATTTACTTAACATCTTTTCGGTTTGTTTTTTACTAATTTCTAATCTACTATAAAGATAACGCAACCCAGTAAGATAGCACAAAACAAAGCCGAAACTGAATGAAACAAAAACGGAAAAAAAAATCGTTGTATCAATTTTCTCTTCCTCAGGGCCGACAAACTTCAAACCTTTAGTCAACCATTTTTTCCAGTTTGCCTGAGAAATTTCTAGGGATAGGCAGCTTGAAACAAAAACAAGATAAATCAAAACAATAACACATTGTTTTTTGAATTGGTCACCCATTCTTTCGCTCTTCCTCAGGGGCGAGCAATTTCACTTACCTTTAAGCTTCAGAAGTTCCCCGCACGGGCCGCCAAATGCCGCAGTCTGGCTGGGCACAAATGCCGCAGTCTGGCTGGGCACACAATCACGAGCCACCACACAGCTTGTAGATTCAAACAGCAACTCTTTATTCCCGAACTCACACCAGCCGTCTACAATCACGTTCTGGGGAAATCCACGTTCTCTGCCCAAATCCACGTTCTCTGCCCAAATCCACCTCCACTGGGCTTCTATCTCCAAAATATATTGTCTGAATCCCGTGAGAACTCAAGGGGAACTCAGGCAGCAGGATACACCCTATTCCCAGCAGGAATAATCTTAAACCTTAAACCTGGAACCTAAACTGGGAACGCCCTAAACACGATTATCTTAAAACCGGGAACACCCTAATCTGCCTTGGTCCTTGAGCAAGGTCATCTACATTCAATGTCACTGCAACATGTCAGCAACATGGGGTACGCTGGCAAGGAAATTGTCATACCTACTTGGCTAATGGCTCCCAGCAGAGACAGAGTCTTGTTAAGTTACTTAGGTCTTTGATAAGTTGCTGAGGCTGGTTTGGAACTTGCCATCCTCGGCCTCCTGAGCCACTGGGATTACAGGCATGTGCCACTTCTCCCAGCTCCAGATTATTTTATGCTTTGAAGAAATGGGCACTGGGGTGGGAGTGGAAATTGATATGGCATTTTTGAAGGACAATATTAACAATATCTGTTGACATTTAAAAAAATGTTCATTTTGATCTAGTATTTCTAACTCTTGATATATAGTCTAGAAAAATATTTTTAGATGTAAACAATCTAAACATCAATAAATCACTATTTTTTTTATAATTATGGTACAAAAATACTATATACATAAGAGATAATGTTAAGTGAGGGAAAAACAAGATAAAGTGAGACCTAACACACTATAGAGGCTTGTATATTGCTACTGACTGATTAGATGATTTTTGAAAAGTGGTATCAAATTTAATGGTTGTATTTTTTGGAGAAAATTCATATTTTAATTTAAAAGAAAATAGAAAAATATAGAATCGCAGATCCCTGTGTTTTCTTTGATTAATTCTATCTATTCTTCATATAAATTATTTCTTTGTTCTTTCACTGATTTTTCATGTATTTCTTTCATTGAACTTTATCAATGCAGTTTACATTCCAGTTATATGACTTCTAATATAGCCACAGGCTAATATACTCTTTTAATGTCTCATTTCTAAAATCAATGTTTGCACAGAGAAGTTCTGCATAAATAGTAGGAAGATAGAAATTAATGCTTTAAAATACTTTGGAATTTAAGAAAAAAATTAGCACGTGACTATTGTAAAAAAAGCATGTTTATGCAATATATTCATGTAAAATTGTATAAGTACATGAATATTTTATATATTTTAAGTAGATGCTTTTGTTTTTGCTTCATATAAATGAGATCAAACTATATATTCCTCTCTTACTTTTAAAAAGTCAGATGCTAGCTGGGCATGGTGGTGCATACCTGTAATCCCCGCAGTTTGGGAGGCTGAGGCAAGACAAGTTTCAACTCAGCATCAGCAATTTAGTGAGGCCCTAAGCAACTTAGTGAGACCCTGTCTCAAAATAAAAATAAATAATAATTTTTTTTTTAAAAAAGGAAAAAATGAAAGGACTGGGGATGTGGCTTAATGTTAAGTGCCCCTGGATTCAATCTTCGATACGCTCCACACCCTAATTTAAATGCTGTGGGCATCTTTCACATCATTGGATACAATTCTGCCTATTTTTTTTTTAAATGACTGCTTAGTTGTCCAAAGTGCGACTATTCTATAATTGATTAGCCATTATCCTATTTGTTGTTTCTGGTCTTTCGTTGTTGCAAACAGTGTTACACTATATATTCCTAAAGCACATTTGCAAGTATTTCTGTGGTTTAGTTTGCTAGAACTAAAGTTTCCCTTATATTTTTTTTTTTTTTTTGGTGGTGCTGGGGATTGAACCCAGGGCCTTGTGCATTCGAGGCAAGCACTCTACCAACTGAGCTATAGCCCATCCATAATTATCTTTAGAGAGAGCTGAATCAGCAATAATTGTTCCAGTTATTTAACACGTTTCTTCTTTATGTGTAATTTTTTTTTTTTAAGAGTGGGAGGAAGGGGGTTCTCACTATATTACCTAGGCTGGTCTTAAACTACTGGTATCAGGGATCCTCCTCTCTCAACCTCCCAAGTAGTTGAGATTATATAGGCACCATACCACCCTGTCTGGCTTTGTAAATTATTTATTTCAACAAAAATTGTAAGAGAGGGATGGGCTATAGCTCAGTTGGTAGAGTGCTTGCCTCGAATGCACAAGGCCCTGGGTTCAATCCCCAGCACCACCAAAAAAAAAAAAAAAAAAAATGTAAGGGAAACTTCATATAATGGCTAAATGCACACCTTTACTTTTATGGTCTAGCCATGTTCTCTGGCTTTTATTATAATGATATTAAGTATTTTGAACTATTCTGGGTATTTAATTATTACTGTATGCACTCTCTGTTACAGTTTTTAAGGATTTCCTTCCTTTATTAAAGGTTCTGTTGGTGCAACTAATATGAATGAACATAGTTCCCGTTCGCATGCCATCTTTACAATTACTATAGAGTGCAGTGAAAAAGGTGTCGATGGTAATATGCATGTCAGGATGGGGAAGCTTCATCTTGTAGATCTTGCTGTAAGTAACAGGATCCTACTTAAGGAATAACTTGTACTATGACTTACATTTATCTCATAAATAAGAATCAATGTGGAAAGGTGTGATTTACATGAGATTTTAAAATTGTGACTTGTGTTTAACTTACTACTCATTATGGAGTATTTCAAATGTATATGAAAGTAGACTAGCATAATGATTCCTTATGTTCTTGTCACCCAACTTTTAACAGTTATCAACTCGTTGTCAGTCTTGTTTCATCTTTTCTTGCTCACTTTTTCCTTTCCTTAATTATTTTGAAGTGAATCTCGGGTGTTATATCAGGTATATTACTGTTAAATTGCGTTTTTAAAAAATCCTTAAAAGGATATTCTGTATTATTATTATAATTTTAGCTTGAGTTTTGTCTCTGTATATTGCTAGGGCTCAGAAAGACAAGCAAAAACTGGAGCTACTGGACAGCGCCTGAAGGAAGCTACAAAAATCAATCTTTCACTTTCCACCCTTGGTAATGTAATTTCTGCCTTGGTTGATGGAAAAAGCACTCATGTGCCTTATCGTAACTCTAAATTGACTCGTCTTCTTCAGGATTCTTTAGGAGGAAACTCAAAAACCATGATGGTAAGACTTCATTTGTGGTATCGTTAACATCCAGCAAATTTAAGATTCTAATTTGTCCATAAGTAATATAAATAACATTTTTAAAATTGACTATTATGGACTGGGGCTATTGCTCAGTGGTAGAGCACTTACTTCTCACATGTGAGACACTGAGTTCAATCTCAGCACCATATAAAAATAAATACATAAAAAGGATATTATGTTCATTTTTAAAAAATTAACTATTTTACTTCTTTGATTTTTGATTATCCTTTTTGTAATATATCATGTGTATTAGTTTGCAGTAGTATCACTTGGAAACCCATATAATTGACACTTTCTTTTTTAAAAAGGTCAAAGTGCCTATGTACTTCAGACATCTATTCTGATATATTTGTAGTTGTACTATTAATTAATGGTAGTGTAAAATGATTTGCATTTCTAATTCAACAGTGTGCAAATATTGGGCCAGCAGATTATAATTATGATGAAACTATTAGTACATTACGGTACGCCAACCGTGCTAAGAATATTAAAAATAAAGCTAGAATTAATGAAGATCCAAAAGATGCTCTGCTTCGCCAGTTTCAGAAAGAAATAGAAGAACTGAAGAAAAAGCTGGAAGAAGGTAAATTCTTTGAAAAATATAAATCTTAATTTTGGCTAAAAGTATGTTGGTTAACGGAGAAGCATTCTAACAGAAATCACCTATTAAACTTTTTTGAGCTTCTAACATTAATTTTTAAAAGAATATTTCTGATGGGCTGGGATTGTGGCTCAGTGGTAGAGCGCTTGCCTAGCATACGTGAGATGCTGGGTTCGATCCCCAGCACCACATAAAAACAAATAAAATAAAGGTATTGTGTCCATCTATAACTAAAAATATGTTTAAAAAAAAAAAAGAATATTTCTGAAAACAATTAATACCTAGCATTTTCAATTAAGTATAAATTATATAATGTATGAAAGATGATATATCATGAGCTTTGTAATGTTTTGAACAACCAATACAAAAAATAAATTAAAAAAATAAATTATATAACATTTGTATTTTTTTAAATTAAAGCTGTCATCTTTATTCCCATGACCTTTTGTAAATTTCCTATGTTTACATATGAAATAATAAATTTTTATCTATGTATAGAAGCACATTCTACTGTGTGTACATTGTGAAAAAGATCAGAGTTCTGGCTTTGTGATTAGTATCACTATTATTATTTTTTTAAGATTTTTTTTTTCACAATACCTTTATTCTATTTATTTATTTTTATGTGGTGCTGAGGATCGAACCCAGGGCCTCACACATGCTAGGCAAGTGCTCTACCACCGAGCTACAGCCCCAGTCCTCTCACTATTGTTAAGGAAAGATAGTAGTTGTTTTTGCTATCAATAAAAGTGCATTGCATAGCCTTAAAATATGCTTTCATACTCAAATTTGAATGTGAGATTCTATTTTGGAAATTTTTTTTCTTTCTTTCTTTTTTTTTTTTTTTTAAAGCACGGATTGAACCCAGGGGTGCTTTACCATTGATCTGTAGCCCCAGCCTTTTTTATTTTTTATTTTGAGACAGGATCTCACTGAGTTGCTTAGGGTCTCACTGAGTTGCTAAGGCTAGCCTTGAACTTTTGTGATCCTCCTGCCTCAGCCTCCTAAGATGCTAGAGTTATAGGTATGTGTCACTGCACCTGGCTGGAAATTATTTTCTAACATGATAATGCAAAATGGTTGGGAAATTTAAAGATCTTATTCATCTCAGTCATCATTAAATACCTAGTCACTCCCTGCACCTTCATTGTTAGGGACAGATAGGTCCTTCTTATTGGCAAGGAACTCCTCTGTGTATCACGTAAATAGAGGGCTTAGAAACTGCACTTGTGCAGTCTTTGGGGAAGGAAACTAGTTCCATCGCAGGTGAAATTTAGAGATGCTAACCCCATCACATATGTTTGGAGAAGGTGCTAATTCAATCAACTAGAGTAAGATAATTGAGAAAAAGCAATGAGTGAACTAATGAAATTTGGTGTTTTAAATGTGACCACTAGGTGGTATTTATAGCCACTATGCTTTAAAGAGTTTAAATTTCTTGGTTATGTTGATTTTCAGTGCATACCTTTATTTTGCTGTCTTTATTTTTAACATTATTAGGAGGCAAAAATATATGAAACATAAAATGTATCATTTTAACCAGTTTAGTGGCATTAAATACATTCATATTGTTGTGCAAACTATTATTACTCTTCATCTCCAGAACTTTTTTATCATCCCATATACAGAAATTCTGTACCCATTAAATACTAATTCTCCATTCCTTTCTCCCCCAAGTCCCTGGGGACCACTGTACTACTTTCTATGAATTTAACCATTCTAGGTACCTTAGATATGTAAAATCATACAGTATTTTGTAGATTTCCTATGTCTACTTGTTAAATAATGATTTTTTATCTAAGTTTAATTTTTATGTAAGTTTATTCACTTAGCATAATACCTTAAAGATTCATCCATGTTTGTAGCATGTCACAATTTATTTTCTTTTTAAGGCTGAAAAGTATTCGAATGTGTGTGTATGTATGTATGTGTACACACACACACACACACACACTGCACTTTGTTTATCAATTTATCTATTGGTGGATATTTGGATTGCTTTCACCTTTTGGCCTGTGTGGCTTACTTTGTGTTCATGGATGCAGACAGTCCTTGTTTTAAATGTTTTGGGTAAAAAACAACAGTAGAATTGCTGGATCATATGGTAATACTATTTTTAGCACATTTTATTTTATTTGCTCTGCACTTTTGTTTTTATAACTTAGTTAATAGAGTTGATCATATAAACAATAAAAAGTAGGTAAAAGCATTAAAGTAATTTTTAAGCTTTTTATTTTAAAATTATTTTAGACTTACAGAAAATTTATGTAGTACAGAGAGTTTCTATGATACCCTTCATTACCCTTATCCAGCTACCTAATGTTAACATCTGTCACAGTACCATTATTGAAACCAGGAAATTTACATCAGTACAATCTCACCAACTAATCTATATGCTGTTTCAAATTTTGCCAGTTATCTTTCCAATGCCTCCTTTTTTTTTTAAGAGAGAGAGAGAGAGAAAGAGAGCGTGCATGCTCGCGCAAGAGAGAGAATTTTTGTTAATATTTATTTTTTAGTTTAGACACAACATCTTTGTTGGTATGTGGTGCTGAGGATCGAACCCGGGCCGCACAAACGTGAGGCGAGCGCGCTATCAGTTGAGCCACATCCCCAGCCCCCCCCCCCTTTTTTTTCTTATTTTAGTCTATGACTCAATCCAGGATCACACACAATAATTTTATTAGTCTATTTTTTTTCTGTCTTTTAAATCTCCTCCAATTGCCTTAGTTCCTTTTGTTTTTCAAAATCTTGACACTTCAGTAGTAGGAATATGGCTCAGTGGTAGAGCATGTGTCCAGCATGTTCAAGGCCCTGGGTTTGATTCTCAGCACTGCAAAAGAAAAAGAAAATGAAGAATCTTGACTTTCCTGAAAAGTGCTGATCCTGAATGTTTAGATTGTCCTTTAATTTGGACTAGTCTGCAGTTCTCTCATAGTTACTCTGAAGCCTCCTCCACTGTAAACCTACTATTTTTTTCATTTGCAATTAATATGTATCTTGTGGGGAGATACTTTGAGATTCTGTAAATATCCTGGTTCTCCTACTAAGAGATAGTAGGAGAAAATAAGTACCTTATTCCTAATTTTAGCATGTATCAGTGGTTCTTGCCTGTGACTATAATTCTGTTGCATTTGTTCAATGATGATTTTCTATTCTCATCATTCATTTTTTTTAGTGTTTGGAATTCTGTTACTAGGAAGAGGAATCTCCATTTATTTATTCAAATTTTTATTTTATTTAGCCTGTGTGTTACAATCCAGTATTTTATCATTTATTAGGTTGCTCATATTGTCACAGTTTTGGCTATTAGGAGTTCTAGTGGGGTAGTTCCTATATTCTTTCAGGGTGTTCTCATCAAGTTATTTTTAGGCACCTGCTTGTTTTTCTGGTCCTGCAAGATAATGTTTTAGGCTCATTTTGTATCTTCCCTACCATAATCTTAAAATACATTTCTCCCTGGTTCCTTTTATTGGAGAATGGTATATAGAATGGGACACTATGTATGGTCATTGCTGATAAGAATCATTGTTTCTAGTCTCAAAGAATAAAATATTTTAAATGATTTCTTTACCTAAGACACTATTCTCTTTCCAGCCTTTATTTATAACTATATAATCTAGTTGCAATTTGTATGTATTTTACTTTTTTCCCCCAATCACCTTTGCTTTCTTAAAAACTTCATGTATGGACAATGATGTTTTTAAATAACTAATTTGAAGTTAATTTAGTGCTTCTCTGTATTACTATTTAATGGTTCCATTTTATTGACTTTTTGTCTTTAAGAGAATATGTAGTTAACATTATCTTTGTACAGATAAAGCTGTCTTTGAAATTTTTTTGTGATATAATCCTAGATATGGGATCACTGTGTTAACTGACAGTTTTGTGGTTCAAAAAATATACAGATTGAATTATTTGAAATCTTAAGCAGGAAACAAGGAGAAGATACTCCCCAAAGACATCACATTTAAAAAGACTGAACTAATAATTCTAACACATAATCTTTTGTATGTGTTTAGAACTCTATTTAAAATAATTATTTGAATTTTTAAATGGGTCAGATTTTAACTTTTTTAGGAACTTTGGAAAAATAAAGTCTCTGTGTACATCTTAGCTATTTCTGAGATTAGCACAACTGATATACTATCTAGGAGCCCTGAAACATTTAAATTTATATTTTGAGCAAGGCACAGTGATACACTCCTGTAATTCTAGCTATTCAAGAGGCTAAGGCAGGAAGATCACAAACTTGAGGCCAGCTTGGGCAACTTATTGAGACCCTATCTTCAAATTAAAAATTAAGAGGGCTGGGGTGATAGAGCACCCCTGCCCAGGTTCAATCCCAGTACTGCAAAAAGTATAAGTATATTTGAGTCAAAAAAAAGCTTAATGAAGAAAATTGGTATAAGTACTTCTGAAATAACCAATGACTTGTACAGACTAAAATCATTGCATTAAATTTCTATCCAAGGAGAAGAAATATCAGGCTCTGATATCAGTGGGTCAGAGGAGGAAGAGGATGAAGAAGGTGAGGTTGGAGAAGATGGAGAGAAAAGGAAAAAGAGAAGGGGTAAGTTCTGTTAAGTGTTCTAATTGGTAGAAATAATTAGGATTGCTACCTAATAATGCTTTCACATTTCTAAGACAATAGAGTGCATGCCTTCTATTTTGCTTTTATAGTTATGGTAACAATTAGAACAGAGGATGTATGCCATATACCTGGTTAACTTTGCATTGTTTTTTTCTCCACTAACCTGTTCTTAGCTTACTCAGAATAGTTTGGATTTTTTTTTTTTTTTTAGAATTATGAAACTATGAGAGTGGGTATAACATTTTGAAATTTTAGGTAGAGTTTTGATTTTACGTGAGGACTTGGATCTGTTAGGAACCTACATATTTTAATAAATTAGGAAAATGTGGAGTTTTTCCTCAAGTAAGGTTAATCTTTAGAATTCATTAGATTTTTAAATAATAAATTTGTTTAAGTATTGTATTTTAAAATTTAATTCCTTTTCTTTATAATATGTGCTCATTCTCACCCCAATGTGGGGCATATGTTATCATGTGTGAGTTAAGACTTTGTCATGCTAAGATTATAGATAACATGCAAAAGAGATGGACATATTATAATGGCCTGCATTTCAAGCCTATTTATCCTAAATATTTATTTCAGAACTCTCTTCCATTAGTGTGGATCATTGTTTTCCAGCTGGTGCATATTTTGCTTGTCTTATTTAAATGATGTTGCTGAAAATAAACCCATCACCGTTTGATCAGGAGTCCCAAATTTAAAAACTGTAAAGATTGTATAAATTCAGAAGAGAGGAAAAGCATGATTTAGAGCAAGAGCTGGTAAAATACAACCTGCTGGCCAAGTCTAGCCCATATCTGTTTTGTAAAATGTTATTAAAACAACTATGTTCATTTGTTTACATATGTTCTGTGGCTGCTTTCACATGGCTTATGGCCTATAAACACATATTACTTGTCCTTTTGTAGAAAATGTTTGCCAAACCCTGACTTAGAGAAATGTATTTTTTGTTCATATCTAGTTTTTTTTTTTAACAAAATGAACTGTTGTTTAGAAAGTTATAAAGCATATAATAGATTTATTAAGAATAAAACTTTATGTAGAAAAATGCCACTATTTAATATATTAAAATATTTAATGATAATATGCCTTCCAGGCTTAGAAATTTAAATTTTTTCAATGAGCCTTTTCAGTTTTGCTGTCATACCTTAAACATAAATATTTGTATTTGATAGTTTGATGCCATGAGGGGAGAGAGGGAAATTGGTGACAGACCTATAACGTTAGTTGAATTTGACTTTAAGTTTTAAAACTTCCTTTAACTTATAACCTAAATAATTTAAATAGACTTAAATGTCACCAAATAACATATTTTTTATTCTTGTCATTTCAACATGCAGTGTTTTAAATGAGTAGTAAAATTTGCACACAGTGAATCTTTATACAGTTTTTAATCCCCCCCATATGGCTTTGGGAAGTAGAGAACATTGGATAGACTACTACCAAAACTGGTTTTAAGGGAAAGTAAGTTTTGATTCTTTAATACAAAGCTTGTTTGTCCTTTAAAATTCTTTCTCTGGAACTGAATTTTTCTCTATATGTGTGTTCATATTCCTGTTTTTTCTTTCTTTGGTTGGCGTTGGGCTCATTTCTTTGTCTTCCAGGCAGTAGCAGCAGCAGTAGTTCAGACTCCACATGTTCTGTCATAGAGAAACCTCTGGATAAGTTCTTGACTAGTGAGTGGTAGCTCTTAAATTCTCTAACAGAGCTTTGGCTTCTCCATAACCCATGGGCTTCATTTGAGCAATGCTGCACCGCTCCCTGTCATTATTTGAAGAATACATGTTGGACTTCTCAGTAGAACAAAGCATGTTGATGATCCCCTATGCCCCTTCATTGCTTCCAGTTAACCATAATTGTTAAAACATATGCTTTAGCTTATGTTTGAGACAATGGAAGAGAGATCCATGCTTTTGCAGTTGAGATAATGTAAAGAGAGCTAGTAAGCTGTATAAAAGAAAAATTCTTATGGTTGTTTTTTATGTTTCATTATAAATGTTTAATCTTGGTCAGTATAAGGGACATGTAACAACAAATCCTGAATTTCTAAAAGTACCAATTACATTTGGCAGTATATCAGTACCCATTATAACATGTCATACAGTTATAAAAATTTTACACTTTGGTGTCCTATTCTTAGCAGTAGCTTAAGATTAAAGGCTCCCAAATAAAGAAAAATGGAGTGTTTCAAGCAAGTAAAAATAAATTGAGTAGTATTTTATTTCAAATGGACTTTATCTCCATTTCTAATTACCTGATAGGTTTTAAGAATTTTTCCAAGATGTGATTAAAGAATTAAGAACCACATGAAGTTTACTCAGGATCTATCTAGACTTATTTCAGACTTAAAGACTTTTTCTTAAACTTTAATTAAGTTGAAAAATATTATTTAATTTTATCTATTCATATTTTATTCTCAGAAGGGAGATGATACCTTCTTGTACCAGCTTGCAGCTTACTGTCTTTTTAAAGCATTATCTATATTCTTACCTTTCCCAAACTAATAACAAAATAATTATTGTTCTTATGCATTTAGCTTTTTAGAGGAAGAATCCAAGAATAGCAAAAATCTGTCTATTGACGATTCTTAAGCAATTTACCAAAATGATTCACTTCAGAGGATAATTTGAAAAAAATACATGATGTTGCTTTAGAGACCATATAGAGGTTAATTTTATTTTATAAACTAAAATATGAGAAATATCTGAATAGGTAACATTGCATTTTTTCTAATGCAAAACTTATCTTAGTTCTTAAAGAATAGTTACATGAACTTACAGTGTGAAATGAGTTGTACTTTGTTCAATTCAAGAAGTTTTCATTGCTATTTACATACTTAGCACATAAAATATGTTGTTGTAACATGGGTAGATTGGTGAAGTGGAGAGATAGTTGTCCCAAGCATGTGGTTGCTGTGTGTAACTTGTTATGTTTGTACCCTCCCTTTATAAAACCCGAGTGGCCTTTTTTCTTTTTTAGGTGTCCCTTGCTTGAATCATCAGTTGTCATTTACTTCTATAATCTACTAATAGGTTGAATGTAAGTTTGTTACTATACAGGTGTACTCCATTTTATGTAGTAAATTTTTTCCTCTGAAAACATTGCTTATAAATCAAGTTGGAAAACAGTGTATTGTGAACTTGCTGTCTTTAAAAAATTCTTCATAAAATTTTTTTGTCAAATAGTGAAAATTATAAACTTTTATCTCTTTTTGGTTCAGGGTTTTGAGTTGGATTTTCTTAAAATGGGGCACACCTGTAATGGATCTTTGTACTAGGAGACACATTGAATTGGGAAATTTTGGAAATGGACAATGTGAATTTTGTTACTTTCAACTTATTAATTTTAAAAATTGGCTTAATTTTCTGCTTTGTTCTTTTGGAATTTCCCAGGTCTTAACAGGTTCCCAATTCTTTGTCTACCATTTAACATAACCACATGATGCTGAATTGTTAAATTTGCAGGAATTTGGGAGTCAGTGTGAGCTCTTTGAGTTGTAATCTTAGAGTAAAGTAATCTTCTCTTTGCTTAAATTGTATCTCTCATTATATTCAATATGCTTTCTTTTTACGTGGGCTCTTATTTCCGTTTTGATAATGATTTGATTTATTTCTCTACTTATACTGTAAATGCTATTATACATTTTTTTTGTTTTACAAAGGAAATAATGTTTTCCTTTTTTTCTTCCTCATCTCTGTGCATATGCTTCCTGTCTACGATTTGCTTACCACTTCTTATTGCAAGATCAAGCAGGTTGGTGTGATTGATTTGCACTCCACTTGGTAGTTATTTATCTTATAAAGAACTTTGTTAATTAAACAGCATTTTTTAATTTAATATTTTTTTGCAAGGTAAGTATCCATTTTTTTGTATTCAAAAATTCTTTCAACTTCAACTTAAAAAAAAAAAAAACACTTGGGAGACTAAGGCAGGAGGATAACAGGTTCAAGGCTAGCCTTAGCAACCTTAGTGAGTCCCTAAACAACTTAGCAAAACCTGTATCAAAATGAAAAAAAAAAAAAAAAGTACTGAGGATGTAGCTCAGCACTATGGGTTTCAAGCCCAGATACCAAAAACAAAATAAAACTTTCTTTTTTCCTAAATTCTTAAAGTCATATTTTAGAAATACAATTATAAATAATTTCACAAACATTTTCCACTCTTTTCTTTTAAAGCCAAGAATAACGTGCCTGTGAGCTATGCTGGTGGGTACTCATTTAATAATATGAAGTGAATTCAGTTAATACTTCCCTGAAGTTCTTCCCCTCAGACTTTCCTTGCCAGTTCACCATCACAGTTTTGGTTAGAACACATGACAAAGTGCAACTGGAAAATGTTACTAGTTCTGTTTGTCTTAATTAAATACTCTTTATTCTGGCATTATTAAAATTTACTTACCTGAAATTTTGTGCTGAAATTTTATCATGTAATATTAGAAACTATGTTGTTATGGGGTGGTGGTGGTTGTTTTTTTAATTAACTGGCTTTGTTTAAAAGAGGCTATGTGTGTATGTTGTTAGGGATCAAACCCAGGGCCTTACCAATGCTAAGCAAGTGCTTTACTTCCCAGCCTTACTCCCCTACCCTTTAAAAAAGTCTTTTAAAATATTTGTAGTTAGAAGAATCAAAGTTCTTACTTAACGGTGACGGTGACGAGGGGAGATCACCTTTGTGCTCCTGGATACCAGGCTCTTGCCCCTGGTATCCACCTTCCCCCAGACTAAAGCACCTTAACCCTAACCCAGGAGTCCACAGGCCAGCCCCCTGGAGACTAAACCTTATTTGTATCATAAAGAACAGGGTAAAAATAAATAAATTAATTTAAAAAGTACATGTAAAAGTGACTATTAGTAATGCCCCATTTTAAAATGATTGGTTAGGAGAGTTGGAACATATTCAAGGTTAGCTTAAAGTATTATTTGAAGAAATATAATGATTTATCAAAGTGATTCTGGCTAGACTAACATGGTAAATATCAGACTTTTGAAATTGATTCTAGCTATACTGATTATATATGCATGGTCATCTTCATGAAAATGTTACAAGAGCAGCATAGTAGTGTTTTTTGCTGCAAAAGCATCACTTTGAAAAACATTACCAGATGGTTTTTACTAATATAATTCAGGCATAGTATTAATTCATCAAGAGGCATGCATTTTTATATTTCTACATATTCAATCTTTTTATTTTTTCACCACTTTGTAGGTTTTGAAACTATTTTTATTTGTTTTGTTTTGTTTGGATTAAAACCAGTGGTGCTTTACCACTGAGCTACATCCCCAGTCAGGGTCTCACTGAGTTGCTGAGGCTGACTTTAAGCTTGAACTGGTGATCCTTCTGCCTCAGCCTCCCAAGTAGCTGGGATTACCTGTGTGCCACCAGGCCCTGTAAAAACTATTTTAACTATTAACAAAAACAATTAGAATCCTAAAGGCCTAAAAATATTCATGTTCATATGTCAAGCATCCATGTCTTCATACCTGTGTTGTTTTCCTTTTAACATATTTGCCATTTTTTCTTTAAATATTTGTAATTCTGAGGTGGAAAGGAAGTTACAGGTTTTTAAATGCACACACCTAAATTTATCTTTTGTCCCTCAAATTTCTGAGAAATTGAATTACTTATGGGAAATTCTTTCTAAGTATTCATTGAGAAAAGGAGTTAAATTATTTTTAAAAGTTATTTTTTAACCATATAACCCAGAAGGTACCATACAGGGGACTGTGATAAACAAGCCAACAGATTCAGGTCCACATCCTGACTTTTGGAATGCAATGAATCACACCATACCAAAGCATGAATTTGGATCAGTGCTTTTATTTTAATTTGTTTTGTGGCTTAGATTTTGCTTTGAATTTACAGATCTTAGAAATGAAGGATATTGTATTTTAAACCCTTGTTTGTTTGTTTTTAATATAATTTTGGCCTGAAGAGTTAAATGAAGCCTATGAATGATTCTTCTTCTCATGGTTCTTCAAAGAATATATTCAGATATATGTTACCATCATAATTATTTTCAGTTTTTTTCCTCATTATTAGCAGAAGGGGTTGGATTGGGGTAGAGGCATTAACAATTTATAAACTCTTCTGGTTTACCCTTTTCTTCTACAGTCCTTTGGGAAGGAAGTTAAGAATGACAAAGCTTTCAGGAGAGCCTCAGACCAATTCTGTGAAAAGTTTGATTGGTTTTCTGAAGGAACATATGATTCTGAGAAATAGTTGCCAGAAATGAATTGTCATTGATTCAGTTCCATAACCATTTTAGTAAGCTAGTTTTTATTTTCTTTTTGATTTTTCATATGAATTTCATGATTTTTGAAATTCATCAGTAAACTTTCATTGAATACCTATTATATGTATATAGAACACTATTAGACATTATAATCAAAATAATCAACTGGAAGTTATGTTCCAGCTTTATTATTTGGTAGTATTTTTGATTATATTTGACACTTATTTAATCTGAATTAGGGAGATTTAGGATCCTGAGTTTGTCATAGTAATGAGCATTTTAGTTGCTCATTTAGGATCTGATGATAATCATGACAGCTAATCAGCTATAAAATGCTTGGTTAATACTATGTAACTGTTGTATAATTATTATAGAATTTCTTTCTTTAGAAATATACTATGTGGTAGAAAATACTTTCTAATAATTTTATTAAACAAAAGTTTTAGAAAAACCCTGAATAATAAAATTTTAAAACTCTCAAGAATAAATTAAAAACTACCTGATACAAATTCTGATATTTTTATCTGTATTTTATATCTATATGTGTCTTTAATTTATGTTATTTGGGAGACGGTTTTTGAGAAGCCACTTGTGATTGTACTTAATTATCAGGAGAAAGAAACTGAAGAATCATTTTGCTTTCTTTTTTATCCTATATGTATTATTTGGGGACACAGAAATTTTTGCTATTTTATTTGGCTTTCCTATTACTCTTTCTTTCCCTATTTTCAGCCCATCTGTTTTGCTTCTCTTTAACCTACTTTTGTTCTTAGATATCATTGTACAATTGAACAACAATTTGAATTTAGCAGTGAATTAAAAAGTTCTTCTAGGACTGGAGTTGTGGCTCAGTTATAGAGTACTTGCCTGGCATGTGTGAGGCCCTCCCTGGGTTTGATCCTCAGTATCACATATAAATAAATAAAATGAAAAATCCATTGGCAACTAAAAAATATATATAAAAAAAGTTCTTCTAGAACATAAATGGAAATGAGTGATACTATCAGTTTGATTTTCTTAAAATGTTGATATTTTGTATTATTGAGGAGTCTAGTCAGTTCTGTATCAAAGATAATTTACATGTCTGAAACACTCACTTGTTTTAGTGATTGTTGCAATTAAATGACTCAAATAGGTAAAAAGAAAGTTTCTCCAGATAAGATGGTTGAAATGCAAGCAAAAATTGATGAGGAGAGAAAAGCACTTGAAACAAAGCTTGACATGGAAGAAGAAGAAAGAAACAAGGCTAGAGCTGAATTAGAGAAGCGGGAAAAAGATCTTCTTAAAGCTCAGTGAGTTTTATTGAATTGAGATTAATTCATGATTTAAATTTCTAATAGTTTTCATAAGATATATAAACAGGAAAATTGAATAGTAACTAAAAGCTTGATTGTTGTTTCAAGTATAGCTGTTCTGGGGTAGAAAATGCCATGTATGTGATATATTTCTAAAGATTAAATCTGTTTCAATTATTTAATCTCTGTGGGAGGAAAAATATTGGTGAGTTTGAATTAGAGGTTAATGAATTAAAACTACACAGAGGTATAGTTTTATAGAGATGTTATATAATTATTTTTTAATTTTGAAATTGTACATCTAAAATTCTTATCAAATTTTGGGAAATACCATTATTAGAACAGTAGCTGATCAGTGAATTTAGAGTATTCTCATTTGAATCAATAGACAAGAGCATCAATCTTTGCTGGAAAAATTATCTGCTCTGGAGAAGAAGGTAATTGTTGGTGGTGTTGACTTGTTGGCCAAAGCTGAGGAACAAGAAAAACTTCTTGAAGAATCTAACATGGAGCTGGAAGAAAGGAGGAAAAGAGCAGAGCAGCTTCGCAGAGAACTTGAGGAAAAAGAGGTGATGTGACTTTTTGCTTTAAGTTTAATATTTGTTGCCTAAGTTATTTATCTTTTAATATCTATAATCTTAATAAAATTTTGAAATAGGGTGTGTGTTAGGGGGTTTAGGGATTGAACCAGAGTGCTGAGCTACATTTCCAGCCCTTTTTATTTTTTATTTTGAGATGGGCCCTCACTAAGTTGCCTGAATTGACCTTGAACTTGTGATCTTTCTGCCTTAGCCTCCTAAATAACTGGGAGACAGGCACTAAAAGCAGATTTATGGTTTACTTTGAGGATAATAGTCACTAACTTTTTAAAATAATTTAAATTTGTGTCTTAAAATGATTCTGAAGTTTACCAATTTTTATCATAGCAAGAACGCTTAGATATTGAAGAAAAATATACCAGTTTACAAGAGGAAGCACAGGGAAAGACCAAGAAATTAAAGAAAGTTTGGACTATGCTGATGGCTGCAAAGTCAGAGGTTGGTTTCTTAGAATGATCTACAAATGTAGTTCTGAATTTTTAAAAAATATTTATTGTTGTTGATGTTGTTGATGGACCTTTATTTTATTTATTTTTATATGTGATGCTGAGAATCGAACCTAATGCCTCACACATGCTAGGCAAGTGCTCTATCACTAAGCCACAGCCCCAGCCCTAGTTCTGAATTTTTAAAGAAGAAATTCCTTTGATTAAGAATGCATACGTAATCATAACATGAGCTTACAGTTTTAAAGAAATAAATAAAATACTTTGCCTTTATGTGCAATTTTTAGTTTTAGCTATCAAACTAATTTTTTCCCCAGTTTTGACTAATAACTTGACATAGTGATAGTGTCAGTCTATTTTATTTTTATAAAAGAACTGCATAAGGTTTGACAAGCCAATGTCCTATGTCAGAGGAACTTTTGTACTCAAAATCTTATTTATTTATAATATTTTTATGGATTTTCTGGTAGATGGCAGATCTCCAACAAGAACATCAGAGGGAAATTGAAGGCCTACTGGAAAACATTCGGCAACTTAGCCGGGAGCTTCGACTTCAAATGCTTGTTATTGATAACTTTATACCTCAGGACTATCAGGTAAGCAGGAAGTTCTCTAATCTAGATGTTAGTCACTGGACTGGGGTTAAAAAAAGGAAATAAAATTTGTAATTTAATTTAATTTAGCTATTATCTATAAAAGTTTCTTGAACAATGCCAGTTAACTTCGGTTAACTTCCCTTAATATCTAAATATCTAATTAAGGTTCCCTTAATATGTAAGTATCTAAGAATTTCTCTTCCATTTGGAGAACTCGGATTCATGTAAATGCAATCAGAATCAAGGTATAGGTCCAGTAAATAGAACCCCTAGGCTATTTTGCCTTGTTTATGGATGTTAATTTTTGTGTGTCTGGTTGGTAAAATGAGCATACATGAAATTTATCATTTTAACCATCCTTAATGTGTACAGATCAGCAATGTTAAGAATATTCATATTGTTGTGCAGCCATCACCACCATTCATCTCCAAATGTATGATAATTCTTAGTCAAGTATAATTTAAAAATCTTATCCTCTTTTTCATAACCAAAAATTCTCTTTCCAATTCATTTTAATCAACTTTGAACATGATTTTCTTAAAAATCTGTTTTGAATTTCAGACAAATTTGAATTTGTCTGAAAATAAGCCTTTTTCCTTTGGACCTCAGGTGTATAAAATTAATACTGGATACATAGCCCACTCTCTTTATTTGTCCTTGGATGGTCTGCTTTAATTTAGTTAGTTATTTTGTAGTGAATTCATCACCCAAAACAAAAGCTAGGACCTTGACAGTAACCTACTTTTAACCAAATGGTTTCCCACACTCTTCCATCCATGCTTCTTCCAACCAAATGTACCCATCATTCTGATTCCTGTGTTCTCATTCTCTTGACATATGTATATATGTAAATGTATGTGTGTGTATATATACACACACACACACACACACACAATAGTGTACACATACAGTATAACATATTTGTGTGTGTGTGAGAGTGTGTGTGTGGTGCTGGGAATGAAACCTAGGGCCTCATACATGCTCAGCAAGTGCTGTACCACTGAATAATAATATCCCCGGCCCTATTTTTATATAGTTTAATAGTTCCTACACATGTTCCTAAGAATGTATATTTTAAGGGCTGGGGATGTGGCTCAAGCGGTAGCGCACTCGACTGGCATGCGTGCGGCCCGGGTTCGATCCTCAGCACCACATACAAGCGAAGATGTTGTGTCTGCCAATAACTAAACAATAAATATTAAAAAAAAAAAGAATGTATATTTTAAAACTTAATAGAAATGGTATCATGCAGTAATATAATGTCTTGAAACTTTTGTCACTTAAGCATTCTATGACTATTTTTCAATAATTTAAATGCTATTAAATATTAAAAATGAACTGTCCTTGACTTTTAAAAGGAAATGATTGAAAACTATGTACACTGGAATGAAGACATAGGAGAATGGCAGCTAGTGAGTATTATCTTCATCCTTTCATGAAATAATGTGAACTACTTTCTCTGGACTAGAAATTGTGCTGGCTGCCGTGAGGTGGGAAGTGGTCCAGAGGATCAATCAGATGAGAATTTAGTAGGGCATTTAAGATGGTTTTCTAATTAACTGTAACAGAGATCATGTGGTAGAAATGGCCTAGATTGGGAGATATGGAACTGATTGACCTCTGGTTCCTTTTCTGTATCAATATTCAAATCATGTTTTACTAGTGAAACATCAGGATATCTCACAGTAGTTTGCCTAATTCACAGTACTAATTACTAATCAAGACATTTCTTCCCCGCCCTTTCCTTTTTTGAGAAATGTGTTGCCTATACAGGAAATAACATGAGGAAGCAAACACCAGTACCTGATAAAAAGGAGAAAGATGTAAGAATACTTTTTTAAAAAAATTACACATATTTCTTTATAGGAATGTGGGTCATTACAGTGTGCTATTAACCTGGTATCTGTTAATCAGCTCTGCTGAAAAGTGGGCTCCTCTAGGATGGAGCGGTTGTTAGGACAGTTCTGCTCACTCTCAGGCTTATCCTGATGGCCAGCTTATTTCTGTCATAAGAATAGCCTGGAGACACTCTTTGGAATCTTCTTTTCACCTCTCTAGGTCATGGGGATATGGTGAGAGACAAGAATGCATCTGCCTTCCCTTTCAAAGTTTGTTCTAGTTGTAGGTCAACAAGAAGAGGAACAAGGTTTAGGGAAGTTAGTAACAGTTTTTCTTTATGTCTGAGGAAATTTATAGTGTTTCAGACGTTCTAATTCACCAAACTTTGGTGAATACATTTCAGATATTGGAATTAGAAGAAGTCTTTAAATATTTATTTAGTTTTATCTTCTCTGGTTTTTTTTTTGCTAGGTGTTTGTTCAGTATTTTACATCTTCCCCTAAATCTGGTTTAACTTTTTAAAGAGTATCTGGTTTAACTTTTTCTTTCACTAGCCCTTTGAAGTAGATCTTTCCCATGTGTATCTTGCCTATACTGAGGAGAGTTTGCGTCAGTCTTTGATGAAATTAGAAAGGCCACGGACATCAAAGGGGAAAACAAAGCCAAAAACAGGGAGAAGGTAAGGACCATCCTTGAATCCAATAAAATGCTGATTAATACACTTAGAGGAAACTAAAATTTATCTAGCATGATAAATATTTTGGTTAATAAGTTAAAAATCAAATTTCTTATGTAGTCACAATTTGAGCAAGTAAAATCTGACTAAAGAATTAAGGTCTTCCAACTTCTTTAGTGTACAAATTTTTGCATTCTTCAGCATTTAGATAAGCAGTTTAAAAACTTTCATGTGCCCACCCAAGACACACATGCAATATTAAGGAATGAAGCAAATCAGTTCTAAGAAACACAAGTTCTTTTAGATCTTGTGTTTTACTTTTCCACTTTTACTAGAAATATTTTCCTCTTAACTCTGCAGTTACTAGGAAATATGACACTACAAATATGATGGTAAGATAGTTGGTCCTGGCATAGTAGAAAGTAGCTAGTGGAGGGGACTGGGGCAAGCTGGAGAGCTGTGCTTTTAAAAGTTCCTAATTGTGGGAATAGTGGGCCTGTTGTTTCTGAATCTTCTCTTTTCTAAGGAGAAGCAAGAAATTCAGATTACTTACATGAGATCCCTCAGTTTTTAGTTACTTTTTTATTTTGTAGACCTAAAACATCAAATTTGATGAGCTCTTTGGATATGGCTTCCATAATGTTCATTTTTAAATATGTACCTTTTTTTTTTTTTTTTAGCTTAGCTTTAGGTTAAGCTAAAAAAAAACAGTGTGGGCTAACATTATGTGAGCCAAAATCAGCATCTTTGTATACCAGAAATATCCTGTTGTATCATAAAAATTGTAGATAGCCATAAATCTAGGCAAATATACACAATAAATGGTTCATCGATATTATATTACATGATATGTTCAGTGTGATAGTCCTCATTAGAAATACATAATTCATTGTGCTGGGCTTAATTGCATAAACAGTACAATAATATAGCATTTTCATCAGTCCCTACATAGGTATCTGTGAGTTGTTGCTTAAGATGATTTGTGTCTAATTCTTACACAATCCACCTGTGCCATTAGCATAGCCCAAAAGAGATTAGTAAGAGATTCCAAACTGGTAGCGTGCAACCCACTTTACGTGGCCACATCGTCTAGTCCAGTTTTGGACACTAGCATCTCCCCATCTCTCACTACTCTGTATACTAGGGTGTGATGTCAGCCAATTTTCAGATTCTATAGCCACCCCATTATTCTTCTACTACATGTTGTAAAGTGTTTGCATTTTTGTCTTTTTAAAAGCATTCATGTTTTCTTTTTTTCTTCTTCAAACAGAAAGCGTTCTGCAAAGCCTGAGACAGTAATTGATTCTTTACTTCAGTAAATGTTGTAGAGTCAAAGTCACAATAAAAATTAGTGATGTTCCTATGCCTGGACAAATCTTTAATTAAAACACTGAAGACTTCTGTGTAATTTCATATAATGAAAACTATCATAATATAAGACTTGGAAACGATGATTTGCATAATTTTTAAACATATACATTAAGTTAACATATTAAAATTGTACAATTGATGATTGTTCAGATTGTTATACTACTCTTGAACTGTACTGTACCAGAAAGTTGGGGGAGCAGTTCATGCTATAGAGTTGCAATTTGATGTAATGTAAGTCTGTTAGCTATTTACCCAACTACTCTATATTTAGATAAATAATTTCAAAGTACAGGGAAAAAAAAAGTATGTCCTGTTTTGCATGTAGAAAGTAGCAGGTTGAATTACCCTATGTTGTGCTGCTGTATGTGAATGTTGGGCTGCACATGTAAGAAATGACTCTGTCCTAACACCAACCCTGTTGGCCTGTTCATATATATTTTATTTTTTATATTAATATCCATTGAATTTAAGTATGAGATGACTGATCTTATTCATGTTCTGTAGAAAATTTTGTAATTCAATGGTCAGTCCTCGCAAGTATACATTTTGAAACCAAATATTGAAAATATATTTCATTTCGATCTCTTCTGACCTTTTTTACTACTTTGAGTTCAATTAAATACACTTTTTTTTGTTGTTCTGGCTTCATCTTCTCTTGAAACATTGAATTGTACAAACGTAAAGGAGTATCTTTGCCTGTATTGTCTATTTTTAAAAATTCTCTTTGAAGTATGATTTGTGTATGCTTTCCCTTGTATAAGTTTTAAATTTTGATGGAAATTACCTATATCCCAATTGAAAAGGGCTTTTATTTTCCAGAAAATGCAACTAAGTCAGAAAAATCTTTTTGAATCCTTGACCTTTAAAACATTTTATTTTTCCAAGTGTTGTGGTGCACACCTGTAATCTCAGTGACTCAGGAGTCTGCAGCAGGAGGATCATAAGTTTGAGGCCAGCCTCAGCAACCTAGCAAGACCCTGTCACAAAATTTTAAAAAGTAAATAAAAAGGGCTGGGGAGGTAGCTCAGTAGTAGAGTGCCCCTGGATTAGATCCCAGTACCGCAAAACAAAAACTAAACACCACTTTATTATTTTTTAAAATATTTTATAAAAGAAAATATTTTCTAAATTTCTTCTATTGATAAACCCAGTTGGACCATATTCCTCTCAATATAAAAATTATATTTATTTATTTATTTCATAGTAATCTAAGTAATAGATAATTTGTTTTTGGTTGGCTACTTAACAAAATTTTAATTTTTTTTTTTTGTAAAAGTTTTCCTATTCTTAAACCACTTAGTCTTCTGTGAGTTTTAAAATTTCATAATCAACCCTGACATGTGTGAGTTGCAAAGGTTTTGAGACTTCTCAAGTTAGGATTTATTAAATTAACATTATTTAAATAAGTTTGATTAAACATTAGTTTAATAATTATACTGGGGTGTTAGAGTTGTGTTAGAGTGGTGGTAAGTGGAGGTAGAATACTGGTGAGGTGGTAGTAAAAATGTGTCCATATGATTGAAGTACTTTTTGGAAGTGGAGTCCTGAATGTCCTGTGTGGTATTTGCTAGGTAATGAGAACTGCATTTCACTTGGCAGCATTTTCTTTGTAGTGTATGAGAGAGTTAGAAGTATATAACTTTGCTCCGAGGGGCATTGTTTAGGTACTGTGAAGACTTGAGGTGAGTATGTCTTGTCAAGACTTTATGTGAGTAGAATATCTTGGTAATTGTAAAATGTTTTTGATGATGCACACTTAACTTTAGTAATTAGTCTACAGATATCTTTACCTGTAGGAAAAAAGTGACCAGTGCTCTTTCTTTTTAAAAGTCCATGTTTCTAGCCTTCAACAGTTTATTTAATAGGAAAGGAATACCTTTTGAATTAAGCTTAAAACATTATAGAAATTTAAGCCACAGTATGTAAAATATTTTTTCTATCCCACCCCAACACAAGAACAAAAAGAAATCTATGAAGTGTCAAATGTTGAGAAATTCTTGAGCAGCCTGCTTTAGCAATTTGTTAAAAAAAGAATTAATGCTAGAACTGATTCTGCTAGATGGACATTAAATATTTAAATATACCAAAATCAAATATTCAAGCCAGGTCTGAATATCCATTTGAATATATAGGACACTGACTTCAGAGGTATTCATTTAGCTCCAGTCACAGTAGTTCTGTTTTTTTCACATTTACTGTGTTTTATTTCACAAATGAAATATTTTATAAATTCAGTGTTAATTTCCTAAAAGAATATACACGAACAAAATTTGCTCATTATTTGAAGTAAATGTGCAGATTTAAAACATCACAAATATATAATAGGTTATTGAACAAATATTCTCTTTCCCTTTAATTTAAAAAGTAATATTTATTTATTAAAAGGGGCCTTGCTACCATGTTTAGTTTAAGTATGGTCTTCAGTAAACCTTGTAATTATATATATATAGATAGTTGTAATTTAAAATATAAAATGGTATTCCCCATTTGTGCTTAGATTCTTGTGAAGTGTAAGATTCCTTAAGGGGGGTGGGGGACTTCTGCATCTACACATTTATTGCACAAGTAAGAATTCATTTGATAAGCTATTTCATGTACTTTTTAGAAAAAGAATTTTTTTCTTTAAAAAATTTAACATTACTTTGGGGGAAGGAAGTGTTATAATATCATCTGTAACATGTTTTTTAAATTATTATAGCTTGGGGGTTTTGTTTTTGCTTCTTTTTTTAGTCTGTTTTAATATCTTTCCCCTTAATTCCTTTTTTAAAATTAGAACATAAGTAATTATACAGTATATAGTCATTATGTAGTGGCACATGTGTTCCCCTTAATTTTTAAGGAAAGTCCCTCTCTTTCCTACAGGGCTGTGAATTAAGGAATGGGTAGAGTTTACATTTAAGCACGCCAGTGTCTGCCCAATTTCTTAATGTATGCATTTATTTTCCTTTTTAACTTTTCTTTTTTCGTAAAATACTACAAGAAAACATAGATCTTTTCTAGTGCCTTTGAACTTAACTTTAGTGTAATTTAAATCCTTAATAACTTCAATAGCATTACTAACAATACTGTATACTGGCCAAAATTACAAATTGTACAAGTTTGTTGTGTTAAATTTAAAAGCCACACTTTCATGGTATTTCATGTATAAATTGTATTTGTTCAAGTTGTATATATCAATATTGTATGTACACATGCAGCATGGTTAGATAAGAAATAAAATCTTTTACCTTTATAAAGCCTGTAGTGATGGTCTTTTTTTCTGAACTACTTTTATGTTTACTTTGAGCCTGATATTAATGAGCAGTTTCTTTGTGCTTAACATCTCAATTTTGTGTGGTTAAAAGAGGCCTGTGTTTTTAATTTCACACCCAGAAATTCTTAATGTTGTAGGTCTTTTAAACAGAAGTCATGAAACAAATTAGGAAGAAATTTTTTGGGGGGAGGAATACTGGGGTTGAACTCAGGGGCACTTGGCCACTGAACCACATGCCCAGCCCTATTTTGTATTTTATTTAGGGGCAGGGTCTCACTGAGTTGCTTAGCATCTTGCTTTTGCTGAGGCTGGCTTTGAACTTGTGATCCTTCCTTCTGCCTCAGCCTCCTGAGCCACTGGGACTATAGGAATACGCCACCACGCCTGGCAGAAGTATTTTTAAATGTACTTTTTCTCATTGATAAAATTTCCTTTTCACCAAAAATATTTTAGCCAATTTTTGTTATCCTTTTCATTAGGTTTTGGAGAACAAAAACCAGTTTTTAGGTCATAACGTAAAGAAATGTGTATGTAGAAAGTATCCCATGGAAAGTCAGGGGCAGTGTTACCTACTGGTAACAAGACCATGATCTCATTTCAAAACTCTTCATAAGCTTAGAGCATCTCCAAAATAATCATAGTTCTTGGATTATATATTATCAATTATATTATCAATCACATGTTCTTTTGACAAACACCAATTACTAGGCACTGTGCCAGGCAGCTATCAGAAATTCAAAGTGGGTCTGGAGAAATTTTGGATTTGTGGACTAGTTTCAAAGGAGGACTTTTTTTTGGTACCTGGTATTGAACTCAAGGGCGCTTAACCACTGAGTCACATCCCCATCCCTTTTTTGTGTTTTATTTAGAGACAGGGTCTCACTGAATTGTTTAGGGCCTCATTAAGTTGTTAAGGCTGGCTTAGAATTCGTGATCCTCCTGCCTCAGACTCCTGAGCCTCCCATGGCTAGTATCAAAGGATTTTTTTAAGTGTATTTTTTTTTTTTGCATGTAGAGGAGGAGATTCCTCTGGCCTTTCTAGAGCTTGCTCTCTTTCTTTTCACAATGGTCAGCTTATATAAAACTCCTAGATGCATGCAGAACATGACAATAAATTAAAAGCTTGCCATGGCCTTAGCAAGGTAAAAAGTAGGGCCACCTTTGCAGCTTTGCCCCTCCCTCAATTTCAGAGCTTCATGCAATACCACGAAGGTGCTCCTTTCTGCAACTGCCAGTTTCGTTGGGCGGTGGCTGAGCACATTGTCCATCGTGTCATCTCATTAAATATCTCTAAAAGCTAAATATTAGGTAAAAGCAAGAATTAGGTAAAATGATGAGAATTTTGCTTTGGCTGATGGGACAATAAAATTTGGTAGCCTCTTGTACCATCTGTGTCACCCTGGATCATCACTTCTACTCCCTTTCTACTTCTACTCCCCTAATAACATTTTTGTTATTTTTCTGCTCTAATCTTTTTCAATAAGTCATTTTGAATCCAACTATCAAACAAGTATATCCAAATAAATGAAGACCACAGCCTTTGTCTTATGGGAACAGTTAGCACAGCTTTGAAGCCCCAGCCTGAATTCAAAGGGAGCTGGAGCAGCCTCCAAACACACTTGTTATAATATTAGCTGAATATCTTGTTCTTAAGCTCTTTCATTTGCAAAGCAAATCAGGTATTCATTCTTCCTTCGGAAGTTGAACAAATGTGTGGGAAAATGATTATGAAGAGGCTACTTCAAAAAGAACCTGTTTCCTCTCAGCATTTATCTTGGGCTTCCTGTGACCCAATCTTCATGTTACTTCTATCAACGTTATCAGAACATCAGATTGCCTTACCCAAACACGTTTATGGCTCTGACTACAGAATATGACAGATCAGACATTCTTCCACACCTGTTCCCCTCCCCCATCCCTTTTTAAGAGGGCTGGGGAAATTTTAGTTTGTAATCAAAGGCTTTTATTTCTCCAATTGTACAAAAGAATTTAACTGGGACTTTACAAACTGAATAAAATTTCTCAGGGTCGATACGTATCTTAGCAAGAGGATATTGCTTAATCCAATTCAAAAGTGCCAGAGTCATTACAGAAACTGTGTATTGCCTTACAAACTGTGTTTTGCTTTACAAGTATGTATTGCCTTGATTTCTACTTAAAAGTTGTCCTCTTTTTAATGTGTCTCTTCTGCTTTGGCCCATTATGTTGTACATGTACATCTCCTCTTTACTTACTAGGCACCTGCCCTATGCTGAGTAGAATGTCTTTGGGAACACAGGAATGCCAGCCCTTGCAAAACTCAGCCTCCCTCAGAGGGCAGGTGGCCTCAAAACTGGAGAATGAACACATTGAGGGCTGAGGTAAAGGAAGGTGAATTTTCAGTGTTCTTCTCTGGCAGCTAGCTAAGACTCTTGGCAGAGGGCAGAGGAAAACCAAAGTCAGAGTCCATGGCATGGACAGATCCAAAACAAAGTCCCTGTGGCATTTTTATTAGAGGACAGCATTTCTAATTGTAACTCAAGAATATTTCAGGGAGACATGTAGTTATCGATATGATCCCGATGGTTTTTTTCATTCATTCATTCAATAAATACTTACTGCCAGACTTCAGAGGTAAATACTTCCTGGGCCAAAGGTAGAGGTAGCCCAGTCGGGGATGGAGTTTGGTCTTTGCTGTCAATGTCACAGACTGCACAGACAAGAGATTCGTCCCATGGAGCAGGCACTGGCTGCCACTAAGTTGCCTAAGTAACTACTCAAATGCCATCTTAATCCAATTTGTCTTCACTCACTTTTTAAAAAATGTGTATCCTTGATTCGTATTCTTGGTAAATTTAAAGACATTGTTGGATGTTTAAATCCAGATTCCAGGACTTCCTGTCCGGAAGTAAATAGGAATGTTAGTTACGCCTTGACCATCCAAGTTCATCTTATCACAGCCCTGGCTCGAGCGCATGTGTCCTTTCTGTGGCCTATTCTAATTCTTTCTTTTTGACAGCCTCTCCTTTATCATCCTGGCCTCATACCCAAAGTGTGACCCACAATTCATATCCTGTGGCAGACTACAGCTCACATTAGCCATTGAATGCAAATGAGCCTCAATCAAAGGAGAAAGGAAATTAAAATTTTCAGCGTGTATCTTCTCCGATTGGCCTTACAAGCCTCCATGACTCTCTCTATTACTTATTGCCCTTGGCATGCTGGTATTTTATGTGGGCAGGGTGAAACTGGCTGTGGTCAGGGTGAGACTTTAAGCTTTTGATTTTTTTCCCCTTATTTTGAAAGGGTTAAAAAAATGTTGTATATTTTGGTGTAATTTTAGAACTAGTATTAATTTTGTCACATGTGTAAGCGAGGATGAAAAGCGCTCAATCACTGTTAAAAGATCCATACTCTTGCAAAGAATGCATCAAAAGGAAAATTTTGATGTCTTGACACTTGATTTTGTTTTTCTCTCCCTTTAATTTCTTTAAATAAAGAATTTTGTTGGGATATAACTCACATTCTCAGTGGTTTTTATTCTATTATAGAATTGTACATCCTATACCACTGTCTTATATCAGAACATCATCATCACCCCCCAGAGAAACTCCATACCTGTTAGCAGTCACTCCCCCTTCTTCCATCTACTGCTCCACCTCCTATTTGCCACTGTGTATTTTCCTGTTCTGTATAAATAGAATCTTACCAGGCATGGCCTTCTGGACCTGGGCGACTTTCACTTGACGTAATGTTTCCAGGGTTTATCCATTTTGGGCATGTCTCAGTACTTCATTTCTTTTTATCATCAAATAATCTTCCATTGTATGGATATATCACATTTTGCTTATCCATTCCTCAGTTGATGGCATTTGGGTTACTTCTACCCTTTTGCTGCTGTTAATAATGTTACCGTGAATATTTGTGTAGAGGAATTTGTGTGGACATATGTTTTCAGGTCTCTGGGGGAGGTATAGGATTGAAATTGCTAGCCCATCAACTAGGTTTAAGCATTTGATGAACTGCCAAACTGTTTTTCCAAAGTGGCCACACCACTTTCCAATCACACCAGCTATGTGTTCCAGTTTTTCCACATTTTCACCCATACTAGTTATTGTTAGGTTTTTATTTCTTCTTTTATTTTAAAATACATGCAATCATTTATGTATATGCGTGCACATACACACACACACACACACACAAGAAAGGCAATATTCTCCCATCTAAATAGCTTTCCAAGCGAACCATCATCCTACCTTTGTTTTTGTTCTAGTGGTTATCATCATAATCCAAAGATTTCTTGATTCATTTTTTTTTCACTTTTTTAAACAAAAATTTCAAGTAGATTTAAAAGCAGACCCATATCCCCATCCCCAGCTACGACAATTGTCAACCCAGGACCACTCTTTCTATTTTTGTCAACTTCAAATATTATATATTTCCCCCATTGAAAGAATGAGGCTTTACCCCTAATTTACCTCTTCCAAGTATTTTTCTGCTTGCTTTTGTTTTATTTTTGAGATGGGATCTCACCGTGTTGCCCAGGCTGGGCTCAAGTGATCATCCCTCTTCAGACTTTGAGGAGCTGAACCACAAGGATGCACCACCATGCCTGACTTCCTTTCCAAATTTTTTTGAGTAAATTATTTTTAGTTCTATTATCTCTGCAGTTTTGAGCACCTTAATCTCTTGGTCTGGTTTCATCAACTTTATTGTTTAACTGAGCTCCTCCCTGCTGAGGCTGGGGGTGTTAGTGCTGCACCTCTTTCTTTGCTTCTGCTCTGACCATGTTGGGCTATGCCTTTTGTGTTGTCAGGTAGAGCCTGTTCTCTAACCGTAAGTCTTCTGGGCTTTGTCTGTTGGTTGGTTCTTGGATTTGAAAATCAAGAGAGTGCGTTATTATGACTTTAACTATTATTCACCTCAGAGCCATATGTTGTGTAAGGATTACTTGTTTTTCCTACAGATTCAATAAAATGCTTCTTGTCCCAATGGGAGAAGAATGTTCTAAGCATCCCTTTGATACTTTTGTGACTCAGAAAAATGTGGTAGTTAGGAGGAATCATGGACTCACTCTAATCACTTACATCTCGTGTGACCTTTTATTCTTTAGCTATCTTGTGCCTTATGTCCCCAACTAGACAGAGAACTCCTTGAAAAGAAAGTGGTCTGTTTTGTTGCTACACCATTTGTTGCTTCTCAGTAAAAATTAAATCAGTTTCCCTAAAAGTTGCAAACCATAACTTCATTTGCTGAGTAAACATAGCCAATACCATTAAACGTCATTTTAGGTTCTACATATACTTTATTTTATAATGAATTATAAATATATAAATATTTAAAAAATAAAGCCATTAAAAACTTATAAATTAAAACTTGGACCTTCCACACTGTGAATATTTCTTTTGCATGGTGTTTTTTAGGCTTTCCAAGAAGTCTTTCAATGTTCTCTGCTTGGATTCACTCACGGGACAGTTGTGCTACAAAAGAAACATTGCATTAGCTTGCATGAGTAGGCATCCAAGTCTCTCCACTACGTCTGTCTGCTTGGTCAAGCTCACGTGGCCTGAACAATTGGCAAACTGGGACCTCCCGTCGTCTAGCTTGATTGGGAGTCCAGCAGGATGCTACTTCCACTTCCAGAGCTGGTTACTGTAGCACCAACCCCTGCCTGCCTTCAGGGTGTGCTACAGTCTCTGAACAGTGTGTCACAGCTAGCAGAGGCTCAGAGAGAGTAATGTGACGTGCAGGCTCAGACCTGCCCGGTGCCACTGCCTGGCCACCTGGACGGTGACGAGACAAGTCATGTTACCCTCCTGCCCACGGAACAGCTGCAGCTGTTCTACCGCTCGGCCTCCAGTCCAGTATGAATCTCAGCTCTACCACTTATTAATTGCATAGCTTAGGACAAACGACTTAATTTATAAAAGCTTCAGTTCCTCTTTTTGTAAGGTGGAGACAATAGTGCTTACTTCATAAGTTAATTAAGAGGATTAAAAGAAAATGTGTGTTGTGCCAGCTCCTATTCATTAGCTTTCCTTTTAAATGCAGCAGTAGGCAGGGTGGGGATGAATGTCCCTGCCCTTCTAGAAAGTCAGGTCCTCCACTTGGCATTAGACAACACCCACCGTGGCTGCAAGACTTCTGGTCCCACTCTCCCTCTTTCCTGTGGCATCCATTCTCTCTTCTTACTGGATTATTCCCATTGGGATACTAACATGCTGAACAGACCCCACCTTCAAGAACTTTCCTCATTCTGCAACTGCCCTTCAACTGCGATTCCATTTCTCTGCAACCTTATAGCAAAACACCCCAAAAGAGTTTTCCATACATACTGTGACTTCTTTATTACCTCTGCCCACCCATCCTCTACTGAGCTTACTCCAGGTGGGCTTTCATCCCTCCTCTCCATTTACATAAGCATCACTGATGGCCTCCATCACGCCAGACCTGTGGCCATCACTCTCCCTCCATCTCACTTGATTTGTCAGGATGTTGGACAAGGTCCATCCCCTGCCCAGGGGTTTTTTCATTTCCCTTCAGGGATGAAACCACACTCTGATTTTCTCCCACTTCACTGGTAATAATCTTCAGTCCTCCTCTTCCCTGAACTCTATATATGCCTCTGGGATGGGGCCTTGGATCTCTTGCTTTCTCTATTTTCTTTCATTTGTACTTTAGCACTTACCAGAGGACTCTCCATTTTATGTTATGAGCTCTGACTTCTCCCCTAAGCTCCAGCCTTTTTAACCATTTCCACTTTGTTATCCACTCAGTTTTGGGGGGATGAGGCATAGTACTGGGGTTTGAACCCAGGACCCTGCACATGCTAGGCAAGTACTCTACCTCTGAGCCATATTCTCTACTCGGTACCTTGCATTCATTATGAACAATGTTGAACTCTTTCTCTGCTCAGTCTCCAACCCTGCTTTGCCCCAGGTCTTCCATGTCTCTGTAAACAGTCCCAGCCATCTCCAAAGGAGTTCAGGTGGGAACCAAGAGGGTACCTTTTATTTCTTTCCCTCAACCCTCACAATTGACCTGTCAGCAAATCCTTTGGGGTCTATTTTTCATTATACCCCACATTGAACCACCTCCCTGGTCTCAGCCTCACTAGGCCACTGTTATCTCCAGCCTGGTCTACTGTGGCAGCCTCCCAGCAGGCCCTTGGCTCTTCACTTCCTACTCAGTGTATTCACATGGGAGCCAGAGTGACCTGCCTGAACCCGTACAGGTGCTTCCACCATACCTGGGGCAGGATCCAAAGGCCTGTGTGAGCTGATCTAGTAAACCTCCCCTCACTTGCTCTGCTCCAGCCACACTTGAAGCTTATTTTCACCTTAGGGCCTTTGCATAGCTATTCCTTCTGCATGTAAGTCATGTGGCCTGTTCCCGCACTTAATTTAAGTATCTGCTCAGAATATATCACTGACTCCTAAATTAACCCCCCTGCTCCTATGACCTATGTTCTTTATTCCTATATTTTCGTTCATAGCCAGTATTACAACCAGACATCTGATTCTTTTGTCTAATTCCCCCACTAGAATATTTCATGAGTCCCTACTCTGCCCCCCAATCTTTAATGCTGCATCCCCAATGCCTAGGCCAGCACCTGGCACTTGTAAAGCCTCAACAAATACTTGCTGAATGAATGGGTTCATTGATCAAGGGCATTACAACTAATAAGGAGAGTCATTTACAAGAGAGGCTGCTGTCCACCAGCAGCCACAATCTCAACCCACCAGTAGGACAGTGTAGCTTACCAACTGGGCCATGCTTCGGAGGTTCCTGTAGAGTCCTCTCAGGAGTTTGAGAATGTCAAGTTTTCCATTTTTGTTCAAACACCTAGACACCGGGTGGTCTTGATAGGTCTGCCGAAGCACAGTTGTAGCCGTGCAGAGGATTTCCTTCTCGGTTGTGTTCTAGGACGAGAAATGGCCTAGATGAGCCATGTGCTACACTATTTTGAGCATGGGAGAGAGATTTTTCCTCCTTGTTTCCTCCTCCTAGGAAAACACATGGAGATGAATTTGCTCAACTGTGGAGCTACATTCAAGTCTTTCTGTGACATGAATAAAGGCTGGTATCAGTCATAAATCTCTATAAATAACCTCTATTTATTACCTGGAAATGCAGCAACCTTCTCCTCTGAACCTCCAAGTTTCTCTTCCCTTGGAGAGTTTTGCTGAAGGGGTACCTGAATAAAGTCACCAAGTAGGTATATGGCAGTGGGGATTTGAATGCAGGGCCATCTGGTGCGGCATCTATGCACCATGAGAGATGCCCACGTGAGTTCTTAGGTGCTTTCATTCTTACAAGGGGTTAAAATCCAGCTTTCCCTGGAACCCAACATACTTGTTGGATAAACAAATGCCTGTCCTTGGCCTGCACTGCATAGCCTTTTCCACGTGACCCTCCCTGTGAGATAGAGTGTGTGTGTGTAAAAGGCATGGTCCAAGTGAGGAGTTCAGGCATGTCCCCATGCAGCATGAGGTAGGTGCCCAGTTCTGGGAAAGGTGCCCAGGAGTCTGGTCTGGGGAGATCAGGGAGGCTTCTTGGAAAGACACCATTGAGCTAGGCCTTGGAAAGAGTTGCTATAACAAGGCTTGGACATAAAATGGTATAGAGTGGATGCTGGCAGTGCTGATGTGGGTCTGGCCACATGGCTCTTCTTGGGGACATTGAGCCTTAGAAAAGGGAATGTACAAGCAGCAGAGAAGCTCTTGCTGGGAACCTGGGAGAGGAACTGTGTTTTAGTCTATACCAGGCCTAAGTGTTCTCCCATTTTCCATTAAAGAACACAGGCACAGAACCCAGAGTGGTCTTAGCTTGGGCCCAGTTTCTTTAACCGAGTCTGATGAAAAGCTGCTTCTAGCCTCTGCCAGGACATGCCTGGGGCCCCTGTTACTCAAAGTGCGGTCCATGAACCAGCAGCATGAACATCATCTGGGAACTTTTTAGAAACACAACTCCCCGTCCCCTATCCTGGACCCACTGAGTCAGAGTGTGCGATGACAAGATCCCCTCGGAATTTACATGAGAAGCATCTGAGTTCTTACAGTTGTGTTTACCCCCCTAATTATCAAGGTAATGTAACATTACCTCATTCATTAACAAAATTAAATTCATTCAACCCACCAGCCAGATGTAACTACTAATATATTTTGGTAAATATCTTCCCAGGTTTTTTTTAAACACATTTTTCCCCAAACAGGAACTAACTGTTTCATAATCTTTTCACACAATATACACTAAAAACATTTTCTAAAGCCATTTAAGTCTTTTAAGAAAGTGGGATTAGGAAGGGTGCGCTGACACATGCCTGTAATACCCGCGATTTGGGAGGCCAAAGCAAGAGGATAGAAAGACCGAGATCAGTCTGAGCAACTTAGTGAGGCCCTGTCTCAAAATTTAAAATATAAAAACAAAAAGGACTCGAGATGAATCTCATTGGTGAAGAACTCCCAGATTCAAACCCCAGTACTGCTAAAAAAAAATAATAATAAGTGGGACCGAGAACTACATAGGAACCCACTGTTCCCATGTATTTGTACCATGATTTGTCAATCTTCTAAGGTAGCAGGTTTTTTGCTTCTGTAAATAATGTAGCAGTGAGTGATTCTGCATTCATCTCATTTCTGAAGACTAAATTTTAGAAGTGCAGATTATATTTTAAGGTTTTTCCAAGAAGACTTAGACCCAGACTGAGGCACCAGAACCCCAGACTACACAGGTTTCTCCTTTGCCATGTGGGGGTTGGGGTCCCAGGGTCAGGCAGATGGAAGAACACTTAGTGAACCAGCTGCAAGTCACTCCTGGTCTCTGACTCTAGTTGCAAACTGAGAGCAGTGCCAGGGGCTCAGGGCTGTGTGGTGAGCAAAGAGGGGCAACACCCTTGCTGCTGGAGAGAGAACCTGAGATCCGAGAGGGCAGAAAGAAGAGCCCCTCTGCTTATTTCCTCATCAAAACCTAGTGAGACTTTTCTGGAACTTTGGCTTGGAACCTGGGAATTAAATTGCCTATTAGTTTAAACCAGTCTATAGCTACATCATATAGGAAAAAAAAAACCCTCTAACAATATTTTTCAAAGAACTTTCTAAAAGTAATTAAGATAAAATTGTAATTGAAAAGAATCTGCATCAAATGGAAAAATTTTAAAGGAACTAATTCTAAAGGCAGTTTTGGTTAAAGACCTTAAATTTTAGCTTATTGGTTTTGCCGCCAAAGAACAACACTCCACCCCATCCCTGACTTCTTGTCATCTGCCTGTGGAACTTTCTGCCTCAGTGGGTCTGGCAGTGGCTCACAGAGCATACTTTGACAACCCAGCACACTTTGTAGCTCAGACCTGCTAAAAAAGAGACTCAAAATGTGACCACTGGCCCCAAGGGCACTTTTCCACTGAGCTACATCTTCAGTCCTTTTATTTATTTATTTTGAGATATGGTCTCTCTAAGTTGCTTAGCACCTCACTAAGTTGCTGAGTTTGACTTTGAACTTCCGATCCTCTTGCCTTAGCCTTTTGAGTTGCTGGAATTACAGGTGTGCACCATCATACCTGGCCAAGCTACTGGAATTCTTGATTCCCAAAAGAAATCAAATGAATATGCTTGGTTTTAGAAAGATATTGTGTTTGGGGAACACAAAGAAGTAGCTTTTCCTACCATATACCACTTTGTGGGATTTTGAAAATAACACTCTTTCTCCATTTAGAAACATCTTAATATATAAGTAGGCAGTGCTGAGTGTTTGAGGGAAAGAAAAGAATGGAAAAGTGAGGTTGTCAATTCCAGCAGGACGAGACACAGTCTGGGGTAAGGTTGTGAGATGGGTTAGCATGAAAGCAGCCACACAGGACACACTGTGTGTGAGAACTAGGAGTCAGCAGGTGGGGAGGGGTCATCTAGATGCAGCCCAGAGTCACAGGGGGACCTCCTGTGACTGCTGGACCTCCTCAGAAGTGCAGATTATATTTTAAGTTTTTTTCCAACTGCTGGGCCTCCTCAGAATCATCACTTCTCTACAATCCAATCTGTGACTTTAATCATGGTTATATTATCTTATATTAACACTCTCCACTAACTCAAGAGCTACATTCCAATCAACCTTCAAATCACCTTCAAGATCACTTTCATATCCTTAAATGTGGAAGCTCAGGCTCTGAGAGGTGTGAAGACTTATCACAGACCATACAGATAGTTAATGGCAGAACTGAGGCTAAAATCTCAGGCTCTCTCACTTCTAGACCCTCCTACCTCCATGAGGGCCAGATGCTGATGAGCTGGTCCCTTTCCTTGGCTTTGGTACAGCCCTCTCCACATGCAGCAAGCCATGGGAGAACCCAAGGCACAATCCAGGGACTCTTGGCTTCCAGTGGGTACCATATGGGTTGGAAGGACTTAGAGATTTTATATATATATATATATATATGTGTGTGTGTGTGTGTGTGTGTATTATCCTTCAGAATCTTATCCTGCATCAGAGTTCAGAATAATCTTTAGTGAAATGAGATAGTCCAGATAAAAGGCTGAAGAAGAGTTTTCCTTGTGGAGTAGGATGGGCCCTGTTCATGGCCTGGGTGCTGAACAGGGGCTTCCGTGCTGGCCAAGTCAGCCCTTAGTTCACATGGCAAGCAGGTAGCTAAGGGACCACTGGTGAATTGAGGCTTTGGGGCTTTCCTTCTCAGTTGTGTGTTTCCATGAAAACAGGAACTGAAGTGCACAAAGCTATTGATATGGCTGTAGTCATGTGTTTGTCAGAGAAAATGCACTATCAGCTGTCACATCTATCTCCTCCCACTACAGATGGGGGGTGGTGAGACTGCAGGAGGCAGAAAGGCGAGATGCCCAAGCAATAAGAAGCAGGAATACGTTGGACTCTATCTGGCAGGATGGCGGTAGACCAGGCTGCAGGAGCTTTGGCAGGACCAAGTAAGCTGAGGTCTTTGGAGAGCCAGCCCCAGATCCCAGCAGACTGCTAGGTGACCAGGCTGTGAGAGCGAAGGGGCTCTGGCAATACCTTCTCTGTTGCCATAGGAAGTCTCTTAGACAAAGTGAAAGCGCCCTCAACCTGTAATCTCAATATCTGTTTTTGTGAGAGTATTTGGTTCTCAAAACTGCATGGGCCAAAAAAAATTCTCCCATTCAGCAGGCATGTATTGAGTGCCTCCTGTGTTCCAGGTATTATACCCAATGCTGAGTTAAACCCTAGAGAGCTTTTCTTTGACAAGATCTAAATTAGGATTACAAACTCCAAGTTTTCTATTAGGTATCTTCTAAATCAAGTGAAACCGAAAACTTCAAAACACGCTTAAGAGTAAAAAATCAGAATTCCGATTATATGAAAACATTTAACACCCTATAATTAATTTGCGTCTGTTCATTTTTCATTAAAGAAATGTTCCATTCAAACTTTTGTGGATAGCCCTCCTCTCCCAAGTTACTCATCTGCCAAAGCAGACCATAGAACAGCTTCTTACCTTGGGGACAGCAAAGACGTCTGCTACCATCACCTCCATGCATGTAGTCTTTGGCACAAGCAGGAACGAGAGAGCAAGAGACAGAGTTAGCCTCCAACAGGACAGAGAAATCCCTGATAAGCATTTCCTACTCCCTCACATTGGGAAAACTTCCCAGACTTCCCCAGAAGAAAGTGCCAGGGAAAAGTCTTGCTATGCTCCCTGCCTGGCCACCAACATCCACTATCAATTTCTCCCACAAACTATGTCTTTCTCATAATCTGGAACTACCCACGGCATCACCAGAACATCTGGAGAGATGGTACCAGATAGGCTACTCACCTTTTTCCCTGAGAGTGTGTTCAAAGTTTTGATGATCTCTTCTAAGGTAACGTTGCATCCGTGGGTGAAGTTGCCAGGGCATACTAGGAGACAGAAGAGAGTGGCAATCAGCAGGGGGGTGAGACCCATCAATAGGTGTCTTTTGGCAGTGACAATGTGAGACGATTAGTTTATCAGGGGAGGCTAACAATGCAATTCTGACAAAGATATCTCTATATATAGATTTAAAATTGCTGAAACCAAAGGAAAATAAGTTTACATTGGAAATTTTCGTTACACCAGATTGTCAGTTATTTGAGGCCAATCAGCGCCTCTCTTCCAGGAGAAAAAATACTTCATAAAAACAGGTAAAATGTTCCTGTGAAATCAGACCAGTAGGAAAATGAAACCTTTTTTTAAAATTAACTACAAAGTTTCAGCATAGGAAATTACACCATAATTTGCTCTGTAGATTAATCTTATCAGCTTGGGGTTGTTGCTGGCTTTTTACTTTGCATAGAAGGAAGAGGCCACAGGTGTCCGAATTTGTGTTAGTGCCATCCTCCTGGGGAAAGATCGAGTAATGTCAGGAAAGTTTGACTTGCATGGTATTTCTACCTGGCTTCTTCCAGGTATGGGGGGAATCTTGGAAACTCTCCTGTCATGGGAAAGCTGACCTGGGTTCTTCTCTGAGTGGAAGAATAACAGGCCCAGGCCTTCTCCTGTCCTAGTACAGGACCTGCTGTTTTTGCAAGTGGATATCTTCAGTGAGGGACAAGTAACATCAGGTGGGGCCCAGGTTGGGTCCCACCAGGTCCTTTAAGGTCTATACCAAGAAGAAGGCCCTGGGCAAGGTTGAAGGTTGTCTATCCTGAGGCTTCAGGAGTGACCACTTTTTAAGAGAAACTTGAACACATTCCCAGCTACTTAGGAAAAGGGACTACAATCTTCCAAGTCACCCATCAGTTCTCTTTGTGAATACCCCGTCACCCACATGCTTTCTTAATCTAATTCTTGTGACTCTGGTGAGGTGAACATTGCCTCACACTGTTAGTCAGCCTAAAGACAAAAATTGTGTATTTATGGCATATGAAATTGTTGTTGTTTCGATTTTTTTTTTTTTTTGATGCTAGAGACCAAACCCAGTGCCTTGCACATGCAAGGCAAGCACTCTACCACAGGCTACCTCCCAGCACTTTTTAATTTTTATTTTGAGACAGGGTCTCACTGAGTTGTTCAGATAGGCTTCTGAATATTTTTTTTTAAATGTGTGTATTGTGGAATTGCTTAAGCATGCACTAAACACAGTATTCATTTGTGGTGAGAACACTTCAAATCTACCTACAGTCCATGATTTTTAAGAATACAATGCATTGGGGCTGGGGTTGTGGCTCAGCAGTAGATTCACTTGCCTAGCACATTCGAGGCCCTGGGTTCGATCCTCAGCACCACATAAAGATAAGTAAATAAAATAAATGTATTGTGTCCAACCACAACTAAAAAATAAATATAAAAAATACAATGCATTGCTATTAAGTATATGAGATATTTTGTATGTTTTGACCAATATCGCCCCTGCCTTCCCTCTCTCTCCTCCTGGTGACCACCATTCTACTCTGTGTCTGTCAGTTTAACTTTTTAGATTCCACAAGTAAAGGAGATCATGTGGTATTTGTCCTGGACCTGGCTTATTTCCCTAAGCATGACATCCTCCCAGGTCATCCACGTTGTCACAGGTGTCCCAGTAGCCTTCTTTATTAAAGCTGAATAGCGTTCTGTTGTGCACATGCAGCTTTGGAACTTATTGCAGTGTCTCAGGCTCTGTGAAGTTGAGACTCTGGAAAATGTGTCAGGAGGATCCTTAGACCTTGTTCAGGATCCTTCTCTTGGGACCATGCAAACTCGGTGCTATGAATTCTGACATCTGCTTCCTGCAGTTGTGCCACAATTCACAGTTAAAGGCACAGCCTTCCACAAGACCACCCTCCTGCAGATACTGGTTGCAAATTTGGGAGACCTCATCCCCCCCTCACTTCTGATCATCTGGCTACAAATTTGGGGGTTCCCACTACGCTCTCAGGTTCAGTAATTTGCTAGAATGACTCAGGGAATCATGAAAGTGCTACATAAAGTCATAACTTCTTTCTTTCTTTCTTTTCTTTTCTTTCTTTCTTTCTTTCTTTCTCTCTCTCTCTCTCTCTCTCTCTCTCTTTCTTTCTTTCTTTCTGACCTGGAGATTGAACTCAGGAGTGCTCAATCACTGAGCCACATCCCCAGCTCTTTGTTGTATTTTTTTTTTTTTAGAGACAGGGTCTCACTGAGTTGTTTAGGTCCTAAGTTGCTGAAACTGGCTTTGAACTTGCAATCCTCCTGCCTCACCCTCCGAGCTGCTGGGATTACAGGTGTGCACCACTGCATCTGGCACAATTTTTTTTTCTTTAGAACAAAAATGTAAATGAGAACAAGCCCAAAGAGGAGAAGTGGAGGGTGAAGTCTAGGAGGAACCCAAACTCAGCTTCCGTTATCTTCTCCCCCATGAAGTCCCAGAGCCTCACTGTCTCAGCTCCTCAGTGTGTGACAGAATTCAGAGTATTTCCGAATCAGGGAGACTTCCCTGAGTGTTGGTGTCCAGAGTTTTTCCTGGGGTTGTGCTGTGCAGGCATGGTTGATCGGACCACTGGTCACTCAGTTGAACCCATTCTCTGGGCCCCCTCCACTGGCAGAGGCCAGACCAAGACCATAGTCTCTCAGTGGTGTGGCCAACCTCATCCTGATTCGTCTCATTAGCAAAAAGTATCTCGGGGTCCATCAGGAGTCTCTTGACTGGTGCAAATGATCAGGTCCCACCATGAATAACAAAGATATGCCTATTGCTCAGGAAATCCCATGGATTTAGGATTTTTTCCAGGCAGTAGTGAAAAAGAATAACTGCATTCTTTATTCCAAGGGGCGTAGCCATTGGACCAAGAGCCAGACCTCTCTGAGTGAAGTCAGGGGAGAGTCTGTGAGAAGAACATGAGGTTTCTTGCAGGACAGGTGGGGACATCAGCTCAGATTAACCCTTGTGTGGAGTGAGGCAGGGTAGCGGCTCAGAGTGAGCAGAGGAAGTCTGTTCAGAGCACTGCCACGCTGGAGGAGTCCTGCTAAATAACTCAGATTCTCAAGGAAAGGCCAGGCGGCAGAGCCAGAGCTGGAGGCAGTCTGGGTTCTGGAGCATCTCAGAGGCAGTGGGAGGTGAGTCAGAAAAGGAATATAATATGGGAGCCTTTAGCTCAGAAGCAGAATACTGACTGTTCTGTTTGTTGAATGAGGCAAGAGAAAAAAGGATGAACTTTGGAAAGTAACCAGAAGTTTCCCTTCTCAAAGGGAAGAAAGTGGCTGTCCTGCCCTGCAGTGACAACACCATGGCACCTGTGAGTGTGGCCGGCCAGGCAGAGGTTGGGAAGATGGATGTCTGCACCATCACAGACAGAGAGGACAGCAGCAGCTATCACCACGAAGGAACCACCACGCCAGCGGGAGTTGTGGGCAGTGACTGGTGGGCAGGTGGGCACCAAAGTTTAGGAGAGAAGCGGAAAGACGCTCCTGGGCTCTGGCAGTATCCATCTCAGACCCTTGCCCTTGCCCTTGCCCTTCAGACAAGCTGAGAACCAGCACTAGCCTCTCCCTGGCCAAAGAACTTTCCACTCAGACCCTGAAACAGCAGTCAGTTATTGATTCTGTGACATGGGCGGATCACTAACCTTGGGCCTCAGTTTCCTCAGGAATGGTGTCGCTCTTCCTTTTGGATTCCTTTGAGGAGTGAAGGAAAGATTAGCACTTGGCACAGGTCACTCTTTAAAGGGTGGCTGTTCCCAGAGGCTGCCCCAGCTCACATGGCTAAGAGAGGGGACTCAGCTCCACAGCCCATCAGGCCTGGTTGCACTGTGTCCTCCCAAGATGACCTTGAGCATGCCCTCAGCATCTTCTGTACAGTGTGGGGGAGGGGCAGCTGTACTTGGCTCTTGAGGTTGTTATGAAGAATAAATAAGTTAAAACTTAAAGTACTTAGAAAAGTGCCCACATACGTGAGCCCTCCGGGAGTGGCAAGATTGTTATCATTAGTCCTCTCTTGGTTGGCCAGATGTTAGCAAATCCAAGGCTGGACTGGGCAACGGAGCCTCATGGATGCTACCCACACTTGTCCCTCCCAGGTGTCTCCTTGTTAGCCTGTGGATCCCTGTCCTTGTTTCTGGTGAGTTATGATTGTTACTCTGCAGCCCTCAGACTCTTGTTGCTGGATTCCAGACAGGAAATAGACACTGCCATGGATGCTTTAGTCAGAACAGGACTTAAGCAGGTGCTATAACTGTGTTGGGAGGGAGAGGAGCAGTCTCCAGCCTGGGCTCTGGATTCTAAAGAGCTGACCCACAGGGGGGGCCCTGCCTCTGAGGCTATGTCATTTACCCCACCCTACAGGGCTGCAATGTGGGGATGCTGCCCCAACAGCCCCCATCATCTACAAAACTGCTCCAGGAGAAAATCTTATCTCCCCACAGCCCAAAGGAAAAGGAAGATATTTGTGATGACCTCTCCTCTCCCATCCACAGCTCGTTAGAGAAGCCAGTTTGCATCCAGACCCTCGCTTCAGGGAGTCTGAGAAATGTCACTGTGCTCATTCAAGTCTGCAGTATTGGAAGGCACCCTAGAAGGGGAGAAGAACTGAGGTTCAGCAAGGCAGCTGTTTCCCTGCACCTGGGCGGCTCAGGCTTGCCTAGGCAGCCATCCCCACAGCCCCTGCCCAACCTGTGCCCTGTGGCTCTCACCTTCCTTCCTCTTCCCTTACTTAGGTGGCAGGAACCCTGTTCAGCTCCTAACAGGCTTATTGAAGAAATGATAATTCTGTGCATGAATGATGTTTAAGTGGAGATTGGAATAAATGTATTTCTGTTAGAAGTAGAGGGCTGGCAGGGTGGGGACTGGAGCCACGGCAGGGAGTCATCCCTGGACAGAGAAGCTGGCATGGCCGGACTGGAAAAAGCGCTATAGGAAAGAATACTGTGGATTTGTCAATGAGCAGTTATATAGTGTCTAGGATTGAGGGCACCCAGCTAGTTCTGTCCTTGGAAAAGCTACCCCATCCAAGCATCTCTATAAAACTGGGCTATAATCCCAGTGGCTCAGGAGGCTGAGGCAGGAGGATCACAAGTTCAGAACCAGCCCCAGCAATTTATCGAGGCCCTAAGCAACTCAGTGAGACCCTATCTCTAAGAAAAATACAAAATA